ACATACATACATACATACATACATACATACATACATACATACATACAGTTGTAATGTAAACCAGCGTCTGTACTTTTGATACTGAGTGTTTTTAGCTAGTAAAGCCTGTAACTGTTTCTGTGATATAAATACTGAAATATTGAAATTTAACATGTAATCTGTGTCCATAATAACCAGATCCTGAAAAGTAGATGTGGCTTTCTGGATACAGAACACAAACATTTACATTTAACTGATTTTGATTAATCGTTTTTAAATTCACAGTTATTATATATATATATATGTATACATACATGCATGCATCCATACATACATCTTTGAAACATCTAAACAAAGATTTTTTTTTCAAGGTTCAAAATGTCAGATTTTCTGGTCCTTATTGCGTGTTTTTATTATGACTGAGGTTGTTCCGTTCTGGCAATCTTTTTCAAAGTAGATGTAAAACATTTTTCCAACGAAATTAGTTAAGATATAGGGAACAAGTAACGAAACCAACTAAAAAATTGTGATATTACCACCAGGGATCATTTAAGGACTATTTTATGCTAAACCATCTGTATATCCATGTCAGTCACAGACACACTGAAAGAACCAAATGTAGAACAGAAATCAGAATTGATCTGACTTTTTGGCGGAGGAGGGCAGAAACACTCAATGCAAGTGAAACGGCTTCTTTCTGCAGTTTTGAGCTCAGTTTATTAGACACATACAGGATAAATATTCAGGCCTCAGACACACAGGAAGAGACAGAAAGGAGTCACACGCCGGCATCAACAGCTGTTTAAATCCAACACTGTCCATTCTCATTATTTTTCCACTCTTTTCTCACCGTATGGGCTTATTTGATTTCATGATAACATCCCTGAGAAAGAAATGGGACGGCTGATGTGTCCTGATCGAATTCCTCCTTTAAACGTTTCGAAAAATCCACCGACATGAAACAAGTTCTCCATATCTAAGTCTAACCGTCTAAACCACAGAAAGAATAAATCTACCTCACTACACCGTGTTTAACGATATTTTAGACCCGATCACACGACCATAATCCCAGCTAAAGTTATTTAGGTATTCCTGATTAAAGACCTAGTTTTCCTAAAGTTTTAAGCAAATCAAAGCAAATTAATTCTGTGCTGACTGTGATCTGAAGTGGAGTAAAAACAGCGTCCTGCTTCCCAGAAATCCGACAGAGCTGCACTTTGAGGTGGTTTTCGATTTTAAAAAAGCACTTTCCCTGATGGGATTTGATATAAATATAGAGCAGCTCCCCTGCTGTTGTGCTAAGTGTGTGAAAGCAGGTGCAGAGAGCCCTGCTGGACCCTGATGCAGAGGTATGCCGCCACTCAGCTCCAAGGCGCTCAGCTCCACGCCGGCCGTGTCGGCCATCCGTCTGGCGGTGCCGGAGTCCAAGGGCTGCGAGGCCGCCGGCTTACACAGCAGCCATTTTGCTGGCCTCTCGGACCCCGCTGAGGTAGGCCCCCGTCACGGTCTGAGGGAAGTGTCGGTTGGTGGCCTGGTGGGAAAAGAAATGACAAATAATGAAAGGTTAAACCTGGTTTAAAACCAGTGGAATCAAACACAGTCACATATTGAGCATTAGCTGGGTTACTGATGCTCAGAGCCTAAACACAGCCAGCTGGACTTCTTCTTCTTGTGAGACTTTTCTCCTCACATCCTGATGCTTCTTGAAGCCCGAATCCTGAAACAGTCAGCGGACTCGGTGAGCTGGTGATCCGTTTCCTGTCCTCACTGAGTTTAAGTGACAATATTCAGCCCGCAGAGTTCATTTTATTTTCTCATTTCTTTTGTCACCAACTGGTTGAGGTAGTTTGGGTTGGGCAGGCAGATGGACTTCTTGGAGCTAAAAGAAATCTCTGTTCTCATCCTGAAACTTCTTAAGGGGAGGGGTCAGTCGAGGGGTCAGAGATCGTCGATTGTCTGAAAGTCAGTTAATCCTGACCAGAGGAAAAAAGCCCAAAGAAGAAGAGAGCTCTACTCCCTGATTGGCCGGAACAGAAAACAGGAATTCAGCCCCTCTGGCCAGCTTGTTGTACACAGCAAAAACACCAAGTTTCTGTTGCCTTTGGGCTTCAGCTTGAATCCAAATCTACTCCATTTAGTAATCATCTTCCTTCTCTGTGTATTACAGGAGCTGTGACATTTTGGAGTAATTCAAACTTTTGCCAGATGTTGCGTTTGATCTGGTTTTAATTTCAGCACCCGATTGGTGCCTGGTTTTAGGATTCTTACTGCTGCCGGTTGAATCTCTGGGTTTGTGCTGGTTCAGGTGTGTGTGAAGCAAAGCGTGAAAACGAGCTGCCAAATGGCGGCGTTGGGCGGCTCAGGAGGAGGCAGAAGAGTTACCTCTCCGGCGAAGAACAGCTTTCCCTGCACGTCCTCGGCCAGCACGTCGTAGGCCTCCCCGCTGCCGCCCGTCTTCACAAAGCTGTAGGACATCTGAGACCACCTGTCTTTGCTCCAGTGGGTCACAAAGTAGTTCACAGGGTCTGGGACATCCTGTGGGAGGAAGAGGACCTTTAATCCACAAGCGGAGGGGAAATCCCATCCAAAATGAGGCGAGACAGGTTTATGTTACAGTTTGAGTTTTGTGTCCACGACAACTCAAAGTACCTTACATTTTAAAAGCAGACAATGAAGATAAAGAAAACAAATAAAAATAAGTTTAACCAAATAAAATAAATAGATTAAAGGCTAAAAAAAATTCAGCTGTAGTAACCCTGTTTCACCTCTTCAAGAAGACCGATTCAGATTTGAGGAGCATCAAACTGAAATGAAGCCTCTCCTGGTTTGGTTCTGACCTCTAAGAAATCAGGTGTGTTTTAAGCTGCATAGTTAATGGTTCTGATGCTGATAAATATGAGAGAAGTGGCCCAAAGAGCCGATGATCACAGGGAGGGCTGAGGGTGATCCCTCCACAGGGATGAATGGAGATACAAGCAGAGGTCGGGGCTGTGGGGCCAGGAAAGGGTTAATAACCCTTTAGTTTTCTACCCTTCCATCATCCATCGCTTATCTGTGGTCGGGTTGGGGCGCAGCATCTTAAGCAGGGAGATGGTTCAACTGGGGAATGATACACTTGAGTTTAGATGTCTTAACTGAGTTTATGCAGCGTCCAATCAGATCTCCAACATGATAATAATGAGTCTGCATACCCCTCAGCATGTAGCTAGTTGCTCCCCTGGTAGTCTCAGCTGACCCTTGACCCTCTATGCTGTGGCCGACCGGACCCCTGACCGGTGCTCACCTGCTCGGGGAAAAGCTCCCTCAGGACCTTCAGGCACTCTCCCACCACCTCCTGGTCCTCCAGCTCGCAGACAGCAGGAAAGGCGTCGCCAGAGATGACCGACATCAACACCGCCTGCTTCCCCTGTTGGACACAGTTACATCAGCCAGGGCCTCAAAGGGTCTGAGCTTGGTTTCAGGGATCGGATACCCAGAACCTCACAGGACTGGGTCCTTCATTTTCCTCCCAGTCTAAACACACACATCTGGAGCAGATACTCAGACTCCCATGATGCCTCAGTGACCCTGAGGGGGAGGAGCCGACCCTCTGATCCAGAACCAGTCGGCTCCTCCTTGGTCATGGCTTTAAAAACACACCTGAGGGTCCAGGTCGTAGAAGACGCTGAACAGGCCTCGCTTTTCCGGTGCCGGCGGGATGTGACCAAAGTAGTCGGCTCCCTGGATCTTGGAGTCCCAGAACCGGGTCGGGAACTGCAGAGCGATCTGCGGGACGTTCGGACTGAGGTTTAGCTGCTGGGCACCGACAGCCTCTGGAGGCGGGCCGGTGGGGATGGGAGGTACCTTTTCGATGATGCCGGCTCCCAAGCTGTGGATGGCCTTCAGCTTCCTCTCAGGAAGGGGGGGGTGGAAGTGGAGGAGGCCCCTCTGGAGCAGGGTCAGCGGGACGGTGACCAGAACCTGGAAGAGAAAGCAGCCCGATGAGGACTGGATCCATGAACAGAACCTGCCCTGAATCAAACGTATTTCTGTCCCCCATATCATCCTGTCCTGGTTTTGGTTCTGATTAACTTTTTCCCTAGTTCTGATGGAGGTTTCTTCTGGTTCTGATGGAGGTTTGTTCCTGGTTCTGGTCCTGATGGAGATCTCTTCCTGGTTCTGCTGGTGTCCTTGGTTATGAACGAGCTGGACCCATTTGGAATACCTGGATCCTGACGGCTTAACTGAACCGGATCAGAGGTGAAATCTTTTGTCATCTGCTGCTTTAGAGATCAACCTGAACCCAGAGCCTTTGGTCCTGTAACCCAGTGGGCCGGTTTCAGAGCCTCTACCTTCTGGGCCGTCCACTGCGACCCGTTTGATGAGGTCACTTTCACGAGGTCCCCCGAGTAATCCATCGTCTGGACCTGTCCTTTCCTAGAAGACAAAGTTTAGTGAGGAAGAAATCTGTGGACCAGCTGAGCCATCGACAGCTGTACATAAAAACCATCAGTTCAACCACAACGATGTCATCAAACTATGCTCCTGAAATGGACACATTTCCTTTTCCCTCCTCATTTGGATCCTGTCAGGTTCTAAATTTGAGGGAACCTAAAGAGACAACAGGATCATGTGACAGAAGACACTGTCTGGTTTATTTATGGAACAAAAACTGAGAGCAGACCCAAAGCAGCCAGTTTAGAAACTGGTTTCTGGTGGTCTCTCAGTCTCTGCGATGGCTGTGGAGGACTTTTGTCCCTCTCTGCTGCCTGTAGCTATTCAGCTCATGGAGGTTCCTGCACGGCTCTGCTGCCGGGTTTGGATCTCAGTCCTGTTGGGGGGCTGGCTCCAGCTTCAGCTGTGGGACAGACGGCCTCCCGTCTGACTCTGAACACTTTGGGTTCCTGGGGGGTTCCTGGTGGACTTTAAGGTCCTGGTGCTGCAGAACCTGCTCGGATCATCTGGGATGGATGAGCTAGGGGTGACCTTGTTGGACAAACTGGCAGCCATCCTGAATGTCTTCACCTGTGAATAAACTCTCTCTCTAAGGGGTGGTGGAATCCAGATGACTCTTAGGTTATGGCTGATGTCTTTCCTCCTTGACATTGTGTAAACACACTCCTGCTCCAGACTCCTGAATTTTGCTAAATAATTAACTGAACGAGAGGCGTTTTTGCTTTCTTGGTTTATATCGAACTCGTTTAGTTTGAGGACGGGATTCGTTTTCATCGTTCCCGCGCAAGTAAAACCCCAGAAATCAAAAGATGGTGGAGCCCCACTTTCACGTTTTTCTAGAGACGGCCAAAGTAAACTTTATTATAGTGTAATAGCGCGTTAGAAGGTAAGGCAGCTGCTAGCTTTATGTTTTAAGCATGCGTCCTCAGCTAAAGACAAACAGGAGAATTGTGTAGCTACCCGCAGATTCATGAGCCACGTTATCCCCGCCGCCGTCCATTCCGTCTCATTTAGAGAGAACCGCTCCGCGTCCACAGCTGCTTCCAGACACTTCTTCGTCCTCGTCTCGTAAGGTCTTCTTAGTTTGCAGCCCGTTGGTATTTTTTATTCCTTAAAGAGCGACCTTCCAGCGTTAAAACCAGTCCCTCCGGTTTATTAGGGGGGTGGGGAGGACCCACAGCATGTTTACCCTCAGCGTCCGGACTGCAAATGAAGCGCGCATGCGCCGGGATTGACGGCCGAAATGATCACGCGGTGCCGCTCCGCCCCTGCAGCACATCACGTCACGTGGCAGATTATGCAAATTGGGCGATGACGTCATTTGGCGACTTCTAGCGACTTTTAGCAGAGCCAATAGCTACTTTCCTTACTGAGGAGTTGGCAACACTTAGTCAGAACTATCCTACAGTGTCACAGAAAACACGAGTCAGTTAATAAATCCGGTAACTACCAGAAAATGTAAAACTATTTTCTCATATAGGGTTAGCACTCATAGCAGCAATTCTAACTGGCATGTCCAGATTACACAAAACAACCTCGAGGAATTCGAGATTTACTATGGGAAAAACAATCAAACATCATTAGAATGTGCGTTTAACATTTTATTCCACAAACTTTCATGTCATGTATTCAATAACCAAGATAGTCCTAATAAATATGCAGGAGAGTAATAGGGGGGCCTTCTGCTGGCAGTAGCCCCCCTAATTTTCTTCTATAGAATAGATTTTTTAAACCTAGTGGGAATTATTATGGATATAAGGAATGCTTTCTAAGTTGATATGTTGTAGTGCTATGCTAAAGAAGTGTGTCCAAATTTAGCATTGTTGTCATCCATCTCAACTTTCTGTGCATATTCATGAAAGGTTCAAGAACAACAGGACACAGTTTAAGGATCATCAAGAAGCTTGCATGCAGATCCATCATCAAGAAGCTTGTATGTTGATCTTGTTAGGCAATGGTCTGTCAAAAAGACATAAAAAACATCATAGATGGGAATCCTTATCATAAGTGCTAAAATATGTGAAGCGTTTTTAAAAGAAAACACCAAAGAACCGACTCCCTTTAAATTTAAATTATTTATTCATTTTTTGCAGGTACAGTGGGGATAATTTTGTACAATAAACTACAGTATATTTGAACAGTTGTTTGGAGTGAATAAATTCATTCAGACCTGATTATTTCTTACTACCTTTTCCAAAGGTGCTTTCATTAGGTACATTCCACTTCTTGGTCATAAGTATACATGTTTTGAGCTGCAAATGCACTGTTCACACAGTTACATGATCAAACAACACACACTTAATCTGATATTTATAATTATATGTTCTTTCCAATTCTCAAAAAAGAAAGTCAGAAAGAAAAAGAAAGTAGATTTTCCTTATATGGACCCTCAGGTGAATTCCTCAATGAGCACAAGTACAAACAGACATAACAAGGAGAGAAGCCAAATAAATGGCAGAGCTGCAAGTCAAGGTTTCCACAAACAGAAAGTCAAAAGTGCATCACAGGGCTCTACCTAAACTCTAAAGTGTTTCAGTGCTTTTTTATATTCTTACTTTATTTGGAAAAAAGGAAAAATAGAAAAAGGAGCAATATAAAAGCAATAATATCTTATATAAAAATGTACACAAACTTAAACTGCAGTACCAGCTGAAAACGGATTTCATGCCCTACTCCTGCAGCCCTGTCTGGCACGTCTTTTATCTTTTCTTCATTTCATCTCCTCCCTCTGTTGGCTCAGTTAGTTATAACTGAGGAATTCACGTTCACGATCACTTGGACAACAAAGTCCTTCTGGATCTTTGCATCTTGCAGACGAGTCTTGTCAGTCAGAAGCTTCCCTGAGAAGAACCACCTCTGACGGGTCATTTCAATGTCCTCCTGTTCTTCCAATTGTTTCTTTAGCTCAGCGATAGAGTCCGCCAAGCTGGCTGTCAGACGCACATCCTTTCCTGAAAGAACCAGAAGGCAGAAATGGAGTTGAAAGAAATTACTGATTAATCTGCAAGACACTGAAAAGTCATACTTGAGGGACCTGCATTTACATAGAAAACGATGAGTTTGATTATCAAAGGGAGGAGAAAAGCTGGCTTATGAGATGTTCCTTATATATCAAGTAGTGGTTGTTACCTGTTGATAATCGCACCCGTAGCTGGAACTCTTCCCTGCACGGCTGTGGTTGAGCTTGCTTTTGTGTGGATTCTAACAATTTGCCATCGCTGGATGTTTCAGTGATGAGGTTGACAGGTGGAGCTAAAGTGTACGCCGGGAGCTGGTAGCGGTTTCCCAGTTCATCATAACTCTCTGTGAGAGAGCCTGCGGAGGAAAAAAAAAATCACCCACATTTTATTTCAGTCACAACCTTCAAACCAAATCACTATCAATACAGACAGTAAACCTCTCCATGTTTCAAATACCTAGGCAGCACATGAGCATGTTTTACATACTATTATAGAATAAGTAAGCTTTAAATGAAAGTCAGTTCAAAGCAGAAACAATTCTTTGTGTGATCCAACAAAATAGGAGCAGAGGTTTTTCCTGTTATGGCAGCAGTCCAATCACACACACGGTACTGTGGCTGTTACGTAACCACGACAGCAGTAGAGATCTCTGATCAATTCGAGCAGGGAACTGAACAAACTGCTGCTTCACCATCAGCTATGTAGTGTGGGCAGGCAGTTCCAAGATTTTGTAGATTACTACTGAATGTTGTCATCCCATCTGACAGATACTGTGTGTGTGTGTTATTGTAGTTGCTTACCATGCGGCAGAGTAATGCAGGCTCCATCCACTATCGCCTGTGCCAGCTCAAGGTCATTGCACTCCACAGCCAGGGCTGCTGCTCTCAGAGCGTCCCAGATCTCTTTCCGTCCGTCAAAGGCTGGTGCCGTATCCCAAAACTCATCCCTCTTACTCCTCAGCTGGCCTTCTGTCATCGGGTACTCACTCTTCCATTTTGGACGCTCCTTTTTTAAAGGCTCATTTCGTGCTATTGAAAAATAAAAACACAAACAAAAAGCGTTTTGTTTATGTGTTTGAACATTGGATTGGAAGATTTAACGACTGCCTGAGAGAAAAAAAAAAAACCACTTCATGTGTTCTAATGACATAATAAAGGACTTAAAGGGCAGTAAATTCAGGTACGCGGTAGTTAAACTCCAAGAAAAAATACTTAGGATGTGGATGGCTGCCATGTTAACCCGCGTCATGACTGCCGTAAAGGTGGTTAAGCTCTTTTCCATTTCCTCCAGCTCAAATGAGAGTTAGAGAAATGTTCGTGTTATTTAAACTTCCCCATTCAGACTCATGCAAAGCTGTGGTTACTTCCAGAGAATGATAAAACACAAATATAATTTCTGGCCAAAGTGCTTCTTTCATATTAAGTTACAAACTTGAGCAGATAAAAACAATACAGACATAACCATTTGCAATGTAAAGAAGAATTCAAACTAAAATAAAATAAATAAATTAAAATAATCTAACTTGTCAGTGCATTTGATTGGATTGTGATTAAAGTTGTAAGTCTTCTTTAAAACTGTCCAAGCACCTTGATAGTTAAATACTATAAAGCAGCTTGTTTTTCGTCTTGCTTTTGAGGTCTGTCATTTCTAACCTGTAATTTCGTATATGAGAACATATGCACAATATCTGCTTTCATCTGCTATTTCGCAAAAGTCAGTTTGATTCACAGAGGGAGGAAAATTAAAGTTGTTATTTATAGCGCTCTGGATTACTGCAGCGGCTAGCCACAAATACTGTACGTGCACACAGACAGACAGACACACACTCAAATACACTCCAGTGGATTATGGGCAGTAATCAGGTTCCACATAACAGGATTTATCTGCCCCCTGTTTCATTGGGCACTGGATGAAGAGATGAGCACTCTTTGGCCAATCATCAGCAAATACACACAACCCTGCAAAATGCTAGTGTACAAAACGAAAATCCAGGATGAATCACTTTAAATGTTCAAGCAGTGATGCTTTCAAGATATCTTAATTGGTAGGGGAAAAAAGTCCTTTTAATTCATTAATGCATATATTTTCCCTTTAAAGTATTTTTTTTTTGTTCAACATGGTAAGAGTTTAAACCCTTACATAACATATTCCACACATCACAATAACTTTAAAATCCATAAAGGGAGCCAAAATCTCTTTTTGTGTCACAGAACAATCAACAGTCAGGCACAGATATTATTTTGTCCCATGCCCTCTATTTCATTACCCTGCACACTACACACTAATGACTTCTTCATGGAATTTGAAACAGATGTCAAACACAACTGACACTTGTCATAAAAAATTCAGTACATCTTTCCCAGCTATCAAGATTTAGTGTTTCTTAATGTTTTTATTGGACAGATTTGCTAATATTTACAGCAAAAAAAACAAGTGAATGTCTGATCGGTGTTACAGTCTGTAAATTGAATCCCATGTACAATGTATCATCGCAGTTAATTTGTGATGAAACACAAGGTTTTTATCTGGTAAAAATGTCTAATTCTGTAAAGCTACAAAGACAACCAAGCTTTAAGATGTGACGCCCCCAGTTAAGAACACTTCTTATTGTATTGTAAAGGCACTCCACAAGCAATTCTGCCAGGGTGGCCAGGAAAACATTGTGATTGTCACGCAAGCCAAACGAAGGCAAGTAACAGCTTTCAGGAAATTAAAAACCCAACTTCACATCTGTAAAAGATACAGAATTATTGAGCCTGGGCAGCTTTGAGGAAGATGAAAACTTACTTTGAGAAACAGTTTTAAGAATCATTGGTGGGCATGTTCAGACAATCAGTTTTTTTCTTCTTCCAGGTTTTACTGGTGGCAAAAAAAGAAAACTGAAGGTATCTTTGTGATTGCGCCTCAAATCATTGCTCAAGTAAGTCAGTTAGACTTGTTATGTGAGCCAGACTGATTATCTTTGCAGAAATCTCTTCTGACACTGTTTCTTCCCTGTAAGTCTGTAGCTACCTGAAAACTAAGATAAGCTCTTTCAGATTATACTTATTTGTCTCTTCAAACAGACATATGAGGTCAACTTTACTATGAGGGGATCAAGCACACAAACAAGAAACTATTTTAAAAAAAGATCATACTGCTTTTGCATCAGTGCATTACTTCCGTGTATCAAATGAGTTTTTTTAAATCATTGTCACACTTTTGTTGTTTTTCTCACTAACAGCACAGTACATTTGTTTTCTTTGTTTCTGTTACATTTCCATTTTTACTTTGTGTGTTTTCAAACATACTTTAAGGAATACCTCATGATTTTTAATACAGATGCTTGTTACTTTAATCATTTATTTTCACATCCGTCAATTTTGCTCATGTCATATTATATGAGAAAATTTGGTCTTATTCTAAAACACCAAATAATTTGAACTAAATTAGGACACAATAAATATTTCACTTGTTACCTTTCTATCCCTTAATCTGAATATTCAAACTCATACTCCATCAAGCTACAAAAAATCTAAATTTAAAAACTCATGTAGATATTTACATATGACGTAGGCGAGAGTTGGCCGTTTCCTAACACGCACATTGTTTACTGTTTCTGTAAGAAGGAGCACTTGTGATGTAATGGGAAAATCAAAGTGATTTATCCATATCCTCCAAGTTAAATTTATGCATTTTCCCTTGTTGCTGATTTATTTTATTTTTTTATATCTAAAATGCATCAACATGTAATGAGGACGTAGCAGTACATCGCCATGGTGATAAAACAAAATAAACGGGAACAGAAATAACAAAAAATGGGGAATGGCTCAACTATCAAAGCAGAAGACACCTTTTTCATTCTGCAAAATAAATGAATGAATAAATAATCTATACTTACTTTTAAGCAAGATCTTAAAGGGTGAGTTTGGAGCATGATGATAATTGTATTCCCTGGAGTTAGGTACTCCCATAGCTGTTCTTTCTCAGAGGGTTGCAATGAATTAAACTTCTGCACATCAAAGGTCCACAAAAATGAGTTAAAGAGAAGAGAAGAGTCCCTTCTGGGCTTGCTGCAATACACCACCGCCTGTCCTAGTTCAACACAATGAGCAGACTCTGATTCTGAGCTCAGGTATCCCTGTGACACTTCCCCAGTTCGTTAAAAATGACAACAGCTTGTCCACTTTTATCCCTTCTAACAACAAACACGGCCCCAAATACCTATTGGAGCAATTCATGGAACAACTTAATGTATGGGAGAGTAGGCAGGGTGTCCTTGCCAGAAGGTAGCCTCTTTACACAAGAGGCCTAATCCTATCAGCTCTATTTAAAGACGGGCTAGAAATACCTAAAGGCAAAGTATTAAAGCCATTATCAGGCTTTAAACTCTGGGCAGACCATTCCAGTCTGCAAGAAGGAGAAGTTACTGTGGTTCTGGGAATGTATTCATTTTGGGCATGTTTTTAATATTCATTTGAATATATACAAATGTGTTTCAAAAATACTCGGGCAGGTTATTTTGCAGTTTGTGTGCTTACATTTGGCTAAAATAGTTTGAGGAGTCATTTCTGCTAAATGAACATGCTTGCTGGTAACTGAAATCAACCTGGACGTAAGTACAATTGGCAGCAGCTCAAAAGACGCTCCCTGCACTAAGTGGGGCCATGTCTAATACACAGGATCTCCAGTGACGCGCCCATTCAATGCTAATGCGTGCCAGTCCAGCCCAGCACACGGGTATTCGTTCACAAGGGATGGATTGAAAAGTGTTTATATAATCTGTCCTGCCAGAGCAGGTCGTCTGTTCAGATTAGACCCATCGCTACAATAAGTCATGATACTTGTGACATGTAACCTGTATCTGCCAGCTTCTCACAAAAGATGACTTCCATGCAGCATGGGAGTAGGTGTTAAAAAATACATGGATCGTGAAGGGGTTATCTTGTGGTCCATCTAGCTGCTGCTACATGACATTTCTACACTCCAGGTCAAAACTTCTTACGGGAGTACCAAAATAAAGATATGTTTATTTCATTTTCAAAAGGAGAACAGTGAAAGATGGCTAAATCATTAATGTTTTCCATGTTTTCAATATTTTTTAAGATTGGAAAGAGCAAAAAAGTTAAGAAAGGCCCAAAAAGAAGGAAATTTCGCATCTTGCATTATCATTTTAGGTCATATCACAGAAGAATCCCTTTCTTCATCTTTTTTTTATCTGAATTTTTGCTCACAAAAGTGTCAGATATCAAATGAATAATTCCTTTTGCAAGTAAAATGTGCCCTTTTTTAATACTGCATCATAAGCATAAAGCATACCCATAACTACATCCTTGTGCTTAAAGATTTCACAGAGCTTATTTACAGGATCTGTCAGGTATTGTTATTAGAAGCTCAGTTGAAAACATCCAATGCAGAACTTCAAATCAAGGATGGATGAAATGTTTTTGAGGTGCAAGTCACTGAAAATGCTGTGTTATTTCCATATATCCTTCTCCTACTATTTAGTTTTGACAATAATCTCATATGTAGGAGAACACAATACCTGCTGCCAGCTTTGCATAACCTGACTCACTCCTGATACCTAGTAATAATGATCAGGTTTCAGAGTATATTTTCTATTGAATATAAAGTCTGCAGGCATGAACGATAATAGAAGTCTTGCTTAAACATGAGGGCCGTGCTATTCTGTGATATTTTATTTGAAATACAGCACCGGGCTATGGTAAATATGAAGAAAGGTGCTCCTGTGTTCTGTTTTGGGCTTCCAAAGCCTCTCCCTCACATGCTTTATCCACACTGGAGAGGTTGCAGTTCAGTGAGCTCAAGCTTCTTACCTCCACGTTTTTTGCTCCCTGCCGAGCTTCGGGCACTCCCTTGCCCATCCATCCTGCTTCTCCCAACACAGCCTCCCATCACGGTCCCTACATTCCACAACGAGATCAGTCTATACCACAGAACTGCAGCAGAAAGTACTTCAAATGCATTTATCAAAACGTCAAATAAGAAACATAATGTGAGACTGTATTGAATGAATGAAGCGCAGCGTCGGAGAATAATGACAGCTCAGCACTCCTTGTTCCTGTGAGGTCACACAAGCTGCTATGTTTACGTCACGTGTACTGCCAGCTGACGAGGGCACGCGCCTGAACATCATGCCTCTCTCGCCCTGAGTTTCCATTCTCACGTTAAAACCGAATTGATGCATCCTAATAAATGTACTACACGTCTGTAAATTAACACACACGATGCAGTTCTATAAATTACGGATCAATTTTCTGCATCATAATTTTAATCCGAATAACTGATACCTACCGGAAATCCAGTCTGCTAAATTATGCATCCGTCTGCAGTTTGCTTGCCACATCCGAACCTGCTTGAAAGTGAAGTTTCCGACGCGGCGATCAGCTGTGGGTGGCACTCTGTCAGTGGTGGGCAACAAACGGGAGGAAGTGGTGTCTGTGCGGCTCTGGCGGCTGGTGATCGGAACGCTCCTGCAGAGTTTACAGGAAATAAAAGCGCCCCTTTAACATGCTGCAGCCAGACTCCACATGCCCTCAAAGCACTTTGCACGGTGCCCACCCCCCGGCTAAATCCGTACGTTCCCAAAGAGAATGAAAGCGGCTTCAGTCCGCACGCATGCGCAAACTGGCTGAAAGTTAAACCCGGAAGAGAGTCCTTCACAGTAATAGTTCAAACTGGGAAAGAAGGAAGTGTTCCGTAAACAAGCACAGAAACGTCTTTGTGATGAAGCCTGTAATGTAATATCAGTCAAAGTAATGCTGAGGGTAAATGTGCGGTTTTTAAAAAATAATCTGCAGTCGTTTTCAGACTGAAATATTAGGCAGAAGTTCTTCTTTTGCTCAAGCAAAATATGTTTTCTGATCATTTCTGGTGATTCATATGTTGATAAGCGGTTCAGAAAGTGGATGGATGGATGTTGTGTTTATAAACTCCTTGTTGTGTCTGTCTTTCCCACATACTGGATAAAAATACCTAATACACTGTAGCTTATCTGCTGACTCATTTAAGGCAAAGGGTCACGATAGGTGAGATAACGCGAGGTAAACAGTAAGTAAAGGTATAAACAGAAGTACTATAGATAACCTGAGCTGTCTGAACACGAGGAGAGTAACTCTTTGCTGGAGTAACCTCAGATCAGAACCAGAATAGCTGAGTTCTAAATAGTCAGCAGTTGTGCCTGACTTTTCAGTTTTTCATGAGTCTGGTTTGCATGAAAATGTTTTTTTCAAAATACAGAAAAAGGGTTGGCATCTCAAGTGATAGCTTTGCAGAAACTGCTCAATGAAATTTGAAAAAAGAAACCTTCCTGGACAGAGATTTGTGTTAATGATGAAACAATCTTACAATCTTGATAATGCACATCAGAAAAACAACAGCAATCTTCAAGTGACGGACTTCTATTTTCTTTGACCTTCGTATGCCGGAATTGAAATTTCTATCAAATATATTAGAGAAGAAACATGAGAATACAGTCTGCAAGAGCACACATAGCATCCCTGATTCATGAGTGCATGCTTTACAGCTCCTTTTCCTGAATTACAATCCTTAGTTGTGAATATTATCATTGCTGTTTAAATAATTCTCTTTGAACCAAACTGACCAGAGTGGGTCTGAAGCAGCTCACATTGTACTGGCTATTGTCTTAGCCTCTATGAAATCAATCTAAGGGTGCTGAATAAAATGACCCTAATGTGATGAGGTGTTATTAGTACCGTATGAATTAGGCTTGGCCAAACTTACAAACACCTCTGAAAGGAAGTCAACACATCAGCAGGACAAATTGCTCAAAACAGCTGAACGTAACATCTACAAAAAACTTCAAATCTAACATTTTGAATCTAAAACAGATCACCTAATCTCTAGACCAGCAAAGAAAATGATTTCCTATTTCATTTAACACTCACTCAGTAACTGACTAAACTTACCATGTCATACACTGACATCTGCTGGATGATTAAATATCGCTGTGCATGAATTGGTGAGTGTGTGTGGAGTGGGGTGGGGGGTGTGTGTGTGTGTGTGGGGGGGGGGGGTCTGACTGAATACTGCCATCATCCGTTAATCTCTTCTCTCTTCTCCTCACAGATGTACACAAAGCCAAAGATTTATTTCCACAACTCTCATTAGCCAGACACTGTTTAGGGCCAGAAAGATTAGTCTAATTTGGAAGAAGAATATCCGTGTTTCTCTGCACAGATTTGAGTGCATTTCAGCTGCTGCCTGTTTATTTTTGACATAATATATTTAGCAAATCTGGCGTGCATCTCATCTAATCTTGCTGGTGTTGCGGCAAGTCTCTACATATGTCTGCGTAACAGGGTGACATAACCCTGGCACTACCATCGCTTTGAACTGCACGGGATGCCATGATGCTGGAGTGAAAAGAAAATGACTGAGTTAAAGGTTAAAAATTGAATAAATATACAAACTGTGTCCAAAAATAAAAATATATATGGTCACTGCAGAAGTACTAAACACAAGGCAAGTTATAACAATTTATTGACAGGTGCAAAATAGTCATAAATAACATTATTGTTTTTATCCAAACATTCCTAGAATGTTTGAATAAAATAATATTGTAGGAGAAGAATTTAAGTGGTTTTGGTCAGTGATGGTGTTTAGATGAACCTCTGTGTCATCAAGCTGAGTGTTTGCTACCTTTTTCCACTGTTTTTATTTTTTAAACAGAAGTCAGCTCTCGCTGAAACTGCTTAATTGTTTTTTTTTTGCTTAAAAAAATCCTCATTTCACACTTCAGTCAGTAAATTAAACTTTTTAACCATAATATGAGAGCTGTCAGACTGAAGTAAAATCAGCTTTAAACAATTTGTAAAATCCAGCTGAGAAAGGTCCTTTGTGACACATCGCCATATCTCCTTGCTGAAAATTCCGTACTGCAGGACCATCCTCGACGCCAGAACAGGTTCTTGAGGTATTTTATATTTGTCTGGCATCAGTTGATACCACACTTGTGTTTTCAGTAAGGTGGAGCCACCAAGCAAGGTCCCTGTCAGCCAACCTTATCCAAAGGTTTGGAGCAGAGTTTTCATACGGGTATCAGATCCTGTTTAACTGGAGAGATGTCCCATGTCAGACCATCACAGTGTGGGGCGTGTCCAGAGGGAAGGAGAACACGTGTCACCCAGTGACTAAACACAAAACAAAGGGCGATGTGGGTCAGAACGGATGCACAATCACTTGAAAAATCAATATACCTACACATCACAGTAACACACCTTCTTTTCTCCACCCCAAAGAAGATTTTCCAGTTGTTCAGCCTGCCGAAGCTGAATGGGTTCTTATATGCCTGGCAGAGCAGTCGAATAAAAAAACAAAAAAACATTTAAGCACTGCTTTCTCCTCTGCGAAGGAATTTAGTGGTTTTCAGTTATGTGGTTTGTGTTTTTGTTGACATGTCCTGATTGTTGGCAAGATAGCTAACAAACATATTTATGGATTTGCTTGTTGGTGTAATATTTCAAAGGAAGTGATGCTTTGAACTAAGTTCAGATCTGGGTCCAGAATATTAATACATTTATTGGTTTATGTCTGCTGTTAAAAGAGGAAGAAAAAGTATGGGATTTTCTTTTAACCAAGCACCACTACAAATATTTGTGCAAGTTGTACGCTAATCCTCACTTTTCCACATTTGGCCATTCGCTTTGCTTCTTTGTAGTTAATATGTTTTTCGATGCTGGTCTCCCCTCTGGATATGAGAAGTGCATGCCAAAGGGTTAAAGCGCCCAAGGCCACTCCAACAGTGCTAAAAGAAAAAAGCACATTTTACTTATTGACAGAAAGACTAAATAAAACTGCAAAAGCACCCACAAACTAACTAATATCATTATAGGAATTGGCTTCATATATGGCGAGTGACAGCCTGAGATGCACACATTACCTGGTGAGAACCCACATGTAGATGATACTCTTATGAATCATCTTGTCCCTGAAGGAGTATGGAGGTGCTGGTGTGTGAAAGTTGGTCTTGACAAAACATGACAAAAAAAAACGGCAAACATTACAGAAATATCAAATATAAAAACAAAAAGTGAGTTCTATATGTTGAATTAATACCTGGCCAGACGGGAGAAGCCCTATGAGAAGTCCCATCCCTGTTACTGGTATGCCTGGCTTTTCTAAGTCCATATGCTTAAAGCGCTGAAGAAACAGCCCGCATACGTACACCAAAGAGTCAGTTACAGAAACAAAGAAGCATCAAAAAGTAAAAGTTGAACCCCACATAAAAAGGCACCATGCAGAGAGGAAAACTGAAGAGACTTCCCGGCTCACAAGCACAAAATACCGAGGAGGACCCCCGACAGCGTCGGTCCCTCTCACCTCAAGAGCATTGTAGGCATCCAGGAAGAGGTTCCTGCCGCTGATGCTACAATACACACAGCCTAATGTCATGAAGAGGCAGAAGGAGAAGAAGTAACGGTGGTTAAAATGGCCCACGCAGTTATTCAACCAGGCTAGGGTGGTGGCGTTAGGGAAAATCAACGGGATGTTTTTGGTAAAGACACTGCTCACAACATCAGCTGGGATGCATGTGGCTCACAAAAGGATACGACAGTGGTGGTCCATTTTTAGAATGCACCTGGAAAGGTAAAGAAACTCATCAGCTGTATCATCAGGACTTCTTTTTTTATTTTTCTAACAACTCCGGCAGTGGTTACTTTTATAGCCTGTTTTTTTCCAGTGTAAAAAACAAAATAATACTTTGAAAAATATGACATGTAAATAATAAAAGGATAAAAAAGAAGAATAAAATTCCTTAAAGTATAAAGTTTTCTCACGTAAAACTCTTTGCATGGGAAAGTTTTGCATTGAAGAGCAAAATGCTGGTCAGTTCATAAAACCACTTCAGCAAAACAACTGGACTACTTGAGGAATGAAAATACCTGTTACAGATTCCACAGTGATGTGTTCTTGCTGGTTTGGGGAGGATACATTTTTTGCAGACCGACACAAATGGCCTGTCATTTCTTTCCTGTGGGGGGGAGAGAAAATATAGTTTTTTCTTACTGCCAATAACACCAGAAAACAGTCTGTGCAGAAAGCATAAACGGATGTCTTACTGTAGGGGGATATCCAGGGGAGGTCTTTGCAGCTTTGTAGTAATGAAAAGCTATCATGATGAGGTTCCAGTGTCCGTAACAAACATGCCAAGCTATCCATGCAGGAGAGTACGTGTTGAGGACCAGAGGCAGAAGAACCACGTAGGCTATCACCACGATGGAGCTGGTCAGTATCACCACCAGACAGACAAACACCTTAGAGGCAAAAATGGGAGGGATCAGGTTAGTGATTCTCCTACATACAAAGAGAACTTCTCACCACTGCAGAGAAATGTTATGAACATTAAATAAATGGATATATTCCCTCTCACCATGCCAAACCAGCGTGTGACATAATCCACCGTCACAAATACCGGTTCAAAGATGGAGTCGAAAACCACGTCAGAGTCTGTGAGAGAGTTGAAGCAAAGGGACCGCACCAGCAGTCTCATATAAGCCCAAATTTCCCTAATCCACAAAGGCAGTCTGTTCCTCCCTCGCCTGCAACACAGCCGTAAACGCACAGAGCGCTGCAGGTGGAGCACAGAGCCGGGACACCACCGCATCCTGCACTCGCTGTCGGTGAGCACCTGGAAGTAAAAAAATAGTGAAGGTAAGGAGACAAACTTACAAACACTAGACCCAGAAAATGCAGGCCTGCGTTGATAAATGTAACACAAACCGTCCATACAGGAAATAACATGGAAGGAAATCAAATTCATGGATGAACATACACTTCTTATCTTGTTCTCCTAGTGAAACCAAAACGGTAAATATCTTCTCCTCAGAGAAAGATAAACAATCTGATAACCTGGGGGGGAAGTAAAGCGGCACACCCATTCATGGCAAAAAAATCTGCCTGAAACAGCAAATATCTGACATTTTTGTGGCCCTAAATGAGTTCATGATATGAGTGTTAAGCAAAGTTAGGTTAAGTTAATTTTACTGACAGAGCCCATTTTGACTTTTTGGCCATAAAGTAGTTTAACTCAACTCATCCTTTACATTTCAATTAACTGTCACTTAAAACAACATCAGATAGCCTAAAGCCACTAATTAACGTTCCTGGTAGAAAGAGCCATGCAATCACAGGCGTATACAACAAAATTATAGAGGTTATCAAACAAATATGTCCATTATTTGCCTAACACGCAGTCTTGTTTCGCTGCATTCCCGACAGGGTGGAGTTCGGGTGGAGGTTCTTGCAGCCACATGAGGTGGAAGGGGCAGTGGTCCGGGGTGGAACAGAGTTTTGACAGAGGTATTTACCTTATCTGACGATGGCCACAAATTCAATGACAACTGAAAATTATCCAACTCGTCGCCTCATGGAAGCACCGTAAAACGGATCGTTTCTCCATATTTCACGTGTATGTTGACAATATCACTGGATCACAACGCTCTAAAATCCCTTTTGTCTGGATGTCCAATTCAATTATCCGACACAGTACGCGGCGGCTGATGCTGACATTTAAGGGCATTTTTTAACATCTAGCTGGTAATACTCACCTATTTATGAAGAAGAGACACGGTCCTTTCCGCTGACATTTTTAAAAGGTGGGGGAAAAAACGGCATAACATGCATTTGTCTGCGAGGAGGAGCAGGGACAGGGACCTGTGACAGTTAAAAGATCTGAATCCCTACCTACAGCCAATGCGCATGCTCAAGAACCCTGCCGACGGGCATTGTGGTAGTCTGAGTCAGGAAATCAATGCAATATTTTAAGCATTCCCCCCCCCCCCCACACACACACGCATACACATTCCCTCAAATTGACATTCATGTCCATTTATGTTCTTCATTGTATGTAGACAACGAAACGTGTGACAACCGTGCAGCTTAATTAAACGAGGTAAAACGGGGGCAGTAAAAGCGGAGTCTTGTGGGATATGAAGTTCTTCCAGCTGGCGTCTCTGCTGGGCTTCACATGCTCGCGAAGTCGACATGTGGAACTTTCCAACCTCAAGCTAGCGGTGTTTAGTCTCAACAGACATCATGTCTTTTTGTTTTAATTTCGACCTCCCTGCACAAACACCAACATCTGACGTCGTGGATGAAAATGAACGACAAACAGGAAAGAAAACCAATGATTCTCCTCGTGTGAGTAAGATTAGCTCGCTAATGTGCCGCTCAGCAGTCTTGTCTTTCACCTTTAGTCATTTACACTAGTAAAAAACTACAGCACGTGGAGTAAATGAAACGATATTTATAGAAAAAAGCAACATCTGTAATAGCATCGTGCACTTACACATAGGATTGTAAAATAGCTTCTCTCTTAAATCAAGTATACTGTTATACTTTATAAGCCTATACAGCAAACCAGTTGAATTCTACATGGTGGATGTACCACTAATGTTTTACTGGGGAATAGCAGCTTGCAGTAGATGATGCACGTTAAAAAAACACCAAAACATTGCATTATTTTTCTATTAGTGTTCTTTAACTAGACCTTCAGGAAGACGAATAGATGTGCAACCTGGCAAAAAGAAAATAACCAAATCAACGGTGATGCATAGACTCAAATAATTTTTCATAAACTGTACACAGTATATTTTGAATATTGAGACTTGGTAGTTTTTAGTTTCAATATGCAAGTAGGGTTTATGTAGTGTTTGTTGATGCTCCTTTTTGTTGTCAAAAGCTATTTTCCCAGATAGGAGAAATATAAAACCCACGTTTAATTAAAACAAACAGACATTAACTAAAAAGTTATCTCTATTAATCAATTAAATGACTTAGGATTTAGCTATCCTTTTTTATTTGAATTTATCAATAAAAATCAGAGATAAAATGATTGACAATGAAGAGTAACGATACTGATTTTTTTAGCTTCATCCAGCACCTAAAAAACAGACTCTTTTTCTGCTGTAGATGTGTGAAAGGCAAAAAGATATAGAGACTGCAATGAAAATTCCTGTCTAAGGTGTGCTTCCACTAGAGAGCGTAGGCTGATTATATCTTGCTTGCGAGCGCTGATGTCACGGCCCAGAGGCTGTGTCAATGTAAAGTCATACGCATCCAGAAGACATCATGGGTTGTTGTTCTTTTGTCACAGAGCAAAATACTGTGGTTTGCCAGAAACTCCCCCTCATTTTTATTTCATCTGAATTGTTGTGCCCCCGTGTGTGTCACGCACTTCAGATTTGCAACCGTCAGAATGTGAATCGCATCGGTGATCTGTGACGAGTCTCATGATTGAGCTTAGTCACCATTCATCTGGCCTTTTATCCTTTTGCCTCTTCATAGAAAAACAAGTGATAGAGGTGAGGGAAATCAGGTGGTTAATATTGTCATTGTGAAGTCACAATGTCATGTATTTGTGATGTTTTCAAGTCCAGATGGATCTCACACCCAGCAGCACTCGTTCCACCAGCACTTTGTTACTTGTTTTGCTAACCCAAGCATGGAGGCCATGTCAATTATTTACAGTGTACTTTTCAAGGCTGGAAAAAATCCTGTTAAAACTGACTTATGTATTTAAATATAGTATGAGAAATATAACTTTATTGGGGTGAATCATATCCAAAATGATGATTTGAATGTTTCTTATCAACCTCTCCCACAGTTCTGCTCAAACTCTGCCCCCCCCCAAAGAACTAATACACCATTCATCATTCTGTTTTGATCAGCGACACGTTGAGTGGAAGTAGGACATCTTGTTTGCTGCTTGAGAGCAAGTTATTTATTTCCACTGATTTAAATGGTATACCGCCCTCCCTCTTGTACCCTGTTGCTATAAACGCACGACCCCCCTTCAGAACTGTGGTGCTTTTCACAGCCCCCAGCTTTTCTTACACAAATTGGGTGGGGGTTAGTATAGTGGTGAGTGTTCCTGCCTGTCACACGGTAGCCCGGGGGTTCAAACGCATGTGTATATTCTACTTTGTAAGTCGCTTTGGATAAAAGCGTCTGCGTAAATGTCAAATTGAAACTGAGGGTGATGATTTCATATAGTTGAGATATATATATATGTGTATATATATATATATATATCTCAACTATATGAAATATACATATCATCCCATACAGAGGACCTCAATTCATAGAACATCCCTGTGAAAACAGCCAGCAGATACTAAGCATAGTTTCCTCAAACTACACACTGTTTTTATCTGTGATTGTTACTGAAAAAATCGAATTAGTTTTCAGTCTCAATCTTCTTATCGTGTTCCTCGTTATCTGGTTATTCAATAACTCTGAGTCACCAGATGCATTAGCAAATTAGATGTATGTGTTCATAGAGAGAGAGACTAACTGTGCCCCCTGCTCTGTGTTTTCAGACAGAAAAGAGTCCTAAACCAGTCGCACCAGTAAAAGAGGCCGAAGAACACTTTCCCCCGTCTGACCCAGAGTTCCTCCTTATGGATGCCATTTTTGAAACGGTGACTGTTGAAACTCTTCCTCCTCTGCACTTCCTCAACGAAACCGTCTTTGAGAGGACGGCCTCGGAGCGAGAGGACCGAGAAAAAATTCTCTCTCGCAGGGCGGAGCAGAGGTCTGATCTCATCTCGGGCGTGTATGAGGGAGGCCTGAGGGTGTGGGAGTGCACCTATGACCTTTTAGAGCTGATTAGGAGGGATGGAGAGACCTTCGGAGGGAAGGCGGTTCTGGACTTGGGCTGTGGAGCAGGGCTGCTGGGCATATTGGCTCTGAAGAGGGGAGCCAGGCAGGTTCACTTTCAAGATTACAACAGTACAGTCATCGAACAGCTCACAGTGCCAAATGTAATGCTAAACTGCCAAGAGGATGAGGAGGAAGACAGCGAAGATGACAAAAAAGGGGAGGGAGAGAGTCGACAGCACAGTTGTGAAACGTCAGGCAAGGAAGAGGATGGCGACCCACCTTCAAAGAAAAGGGCTGCGGACCTGTCCCAGCACCCGTTACTGAGGAGGTGTCGCTTCTTCTCCGGCGACTGGAGCACGTTCCTTCCTTTGGTTCTAACAACAGAACCAGAGCCCAAGTTCGACGTCATATTCACCTCAGAGACCATCTACAACACGGAGCACTACCACGCTCTGCACCAGAGCCTCCACCGGCTGCTGGCGCCGGACGGTCTGGTCTACCTGGCCACCAAAGCGCATTACTTCGGTGTCGGCGGCGGTCTCCATTTGTTTGAGGCGTTCGTCAAACAGAGGGGCGTCTTCTCTCTGGATCGTGTGTGGGACGGTGAAGAAGGCCTGCAGAGACACGTAGTCGTCCTGCGTTTTAAAAAGGACGGACAGGGACTCGCAGGCTCCGTTAAAATGGATTAATCTATTTAACGGGAACGTGTGTATGCTAGAAGGCTGTATCATGCTGGGTTCTATTCTGTATTAAGGTTGTCATGGTAAAACTGAAATAAAAAACAATGTGTCATGTTCTCTGTTTCATCATCTACAGCCTGTTTCACTTCCTATACAGACATTTGAATATGTCTGCTGGTAACTAAAGCGCTGCTGAAAGGGGCTGTTAACGCTCTTTAGATACATGGGGAGGAAAGAAAGGAAATGGGCTCAGTGACCTTTACGAGTGTTTTCCCCAGTGTTCAAACACCAGCATGAAAGCCAGTCTTGTTTCTGAAGTCCAGCGCAAAATGTCAATTGCAACTTATCCCACAAGCCTAAGGATGTAGTTTGAAAGCGGATTCTAGAGTAGCCGCACATCAGTGGTGGGACTCTATGGGGTCTCTGTATCTCTACCTCTTATTCTGACGGTTACCTAATCGTGACGGGGTCTACGGCAAAGCAAAAAGCCTGGACACATTTCAGAAGTGTGTACTTCATGGAAATATCCAGGGGCAACCATTCCTGTTTGAGAAGGGAACTAAATTGTTAGTATTTTTGTTGGTACAGATCAAGGAAATCCACTAGTTTTATCTGAACAGGAATTTTTCTGAGAAACAAAGTGTCATGTCCGTGCTAGTCTCTCATAGTCGATGAGAGCTGATGAGGAAATCAGAGGGGTTTTTACATTGTCGCTAAACAATGGATGTGTTTGAAAAAGCTCCCGGTGTATTTGAATACTTTGGTTGTGGCCGGCTGACCTTCTCTGTGATTGAGCACAGCCACATCCCGGTTATCTCCGACTGACTGGCCAGCAAACAACGTCACGAGGATTCTTCTTTTAATACACCTCTGTGAAACCCCGACCGAAAACGCTACCAATCGCCCTGCTCTAACGCCTCTGAAACATGCCCGTGATGTAAGAGCTGCACAGTGGCCTGCTGATAAAATACTTTTTTTTTAAAACATCAAAACTACTTTTGGAACCGATATGTCAGCAGGTCAAACATGACTGCGCATATCAACACCCACAAATGAGGGCAGAATTTCCAGCTGCGTAGCCCGAAAACATACAGTAGTTTTGAACCGTTTCACTCACACATGCATAGAATACACACAAACACGGTTTCTGTTTGCATAAACCGGCCGGCAAACTTCCAGTGTGTGCACTTCGTCATCATCTCGACAGCTGTCTCTGGCCTGTGGGGGAATTCCTGGTTCCTCGAGTAGACACAGCCTTTCCCCTGCTTACTTTATGGGAACAGGGGGCAGGGCAAGTCAGATGGTTTTCCTCAGAAACTATTATGTGTTGATTCACTGTGAGGGGGCGTGCTGTTCACTCCCACTGCTTCCTTCTTACTGGGAAGTGACTGCTGGGCTTACCGTACGGAGGGAGTGTATGAAAAACAGAGGAGGTAGGCTGATGGCTGATGTGGAAAGGTGCTGGTATTTAAGCCTATTTGCTCTGAACGTCAGACGCTGTGCTGCATCCCTCCTCGAGCCTCGGAGGACATGAGCGAGGGGACCTGGACGGGGGGGGGGGCACTGTGTGTTCGGCGTGGAACAGCCTGCAGCTCCTTCAACTTTTAAAGATTCTTCTGTTGATATGGAACTCCTGAGGTGTGTTTAGAGCTGGCAAGAGCCAAATCCTTTGAGGCCTGTGTGATGAGGAGGTTTATTTTTGATAAATCCAATACCGGGAAAGAAAATCTTCAAGGAAATAATCAGGTATGTATTTTGGTAGAAATTGCTAACCGACATCAGAGATGTTTGACATTTGGATATATTTTCCAAATATTTTAATTTTTTTTTCCTGAACACTTGTGTGACCTCTGAATGATAGCTCTTTAGTTTTGACTGGACTTTACAACTCCAAAAATCCACTCAATTGAGATTTTTTTTCATGTAATAGGCTGCAGAACCGGTTGTTTCTAAGTTTAACTGCCAGTAAGATATGAGTTTCCTGAACATGCTCAGGTGTGGCCTTCCTTTGAAAGTTCATTGTACTACCCTGTAATCCAGAAGAATGCACACTTTCAATGAATGAAACACAGATAACATTGTATAATTGTGTCACTGTACTCCAGACCTTGGATAAGGGTTTTTTTAAGTGACACAAGAGAATCTATGTGGCAGCGCAGGCCAGTTAATCTCAAACTTACACTGTAAGGTTCAAAGACCAACCGAACGTCAGTGATCACACTTTCCCAGAGTTCTTTCCCTGGGAGCGTATGGCCCTCAGTGATGACTCATTTTATCCCTTGACCAGATCACCATTTCCCTGATCTGATATAGTGCTCACATCAGTCCAGTTGACAGGCTTCATATTCAACAGCTGCAAAGCACTTTCAGGCACACTCAGGTTTAAGAGACGTTGGGTCCGTCATACTCTCGGAGGGCTCCATCTAAAACTCAAGATTCATTCTGAGATATGTCCATTTCAAAGGTTTCGTTTTCCATGTTGTTATTGTTTAACCATTTATCCTTGTAATTTTACAGGCATTAGAACATATTTTTTCACATTTTAAACAAATGTAAGAAAACGCGTTGAATCTTCTGATTTTGGCTGATAGTGAATGAAAAGGAAATTGTTGTTGTTTTTTTAAGACGAGCTAATCTTTTGTAAATGTTTTTTTACGTACAAGTTTGAAATTATTCGCCCCATTAATATATGCTGCAAAGACCTTCTGTGAGCAATGGCTGTTTAATGTGAAGTTTAGTCACCGTGAACAGTCTTGCTCAATCTTACAGTGGAAGAAGTTGACGTAATCATCTCATCACCCTGTTTTTCTTGAGAAACGGAGATGGGTGGCCCAACTGTACAGCATGCTGCATCTAATAACTTCTACTCACTAGTCTTTTGAACCTACTCCCATTCTGAATGGTTTAAGTGGTTAATATATTTGTTTTTTTCTTTTCCTTTTTTAAAAAGAGGGCAGAATGTTGTTTTGTATGGAGCACTGATACTGAAGAAGGACTTGTCAAACAATTTTGTCGTCAAAGGATCAACATGCGGCTGAAGAGATTTTCAAGGTGCTCTTCTATGAGAACTGAATTCCATAGATGGTGGCGTCTTTAGGTGTCATCTATGGGCTCAGTTCTTTTTGGATGGTACTGGTTTGTCGAACACACGGAACAGCATCAAACAGCGGAAATAATGGCCATGTAAAAAAAAACCTTATGTTATTTTGGTTTTATGTTCACAACTCTTTTTTGTATGTTGTTTGTGTGAACTGTATATAATCAATTTTATTACTTTGTATAGAAAGAATTTCATAATTGTTCATGTTACAAATATATTTCTCTAATAAACCCATGACCAAAGAAGAATATTTCCCCCGAAATGTATTGTATAAATGCATGTTAGTTTGGATATAAAAGGTGGTTGAATGTAGAAAAAAAATCTGAGGGAAATACTTAGAAAAAAAAAGCAGGATGTTGTATCACTTCCTTGCCCAGTGAATGCTGGCCTCCAGAGTTAAAACCTGCACATAGTTAACTCCGACCCAATACCTCTATTATTAGACTAGATAGCAAGCCAATAGGTGAACAGCATAATTTAAAATTGCCAATGACAATTTATGGTCATAAATATCACACTGATATTCTAACAAAAATTTGCACACACAGGGAGATTAAATATGAGGCCATGAAAATAGATAGAATTGATAAATGCTTTGACTTAAGTGCTTGACAGAAAGGAAACTGAAGTACAAAGCATTAAATCGCAATAAATGATCAAACTCTTGCAGAGCTAATTACAAATTAAGCTAAGTGTTTTTGGGGTAATCGCCTTAAGCAATATTATAGCATAATACAAGATTTAGTGCCGAGAAAATAATTACATTTCTATAATGCTATGACTGAAAAAATTACTAATTTTATTCATAAGTAAGAAACAGAAGTCAAATGTGAAAGAGTATAGCACTACAGTAATATAGAACAGTACTCATAATCTCCATCTGAATCATAATAATCCTTTCAGTCTTAAATGGTATACTTTAAGACCGAAAGGTTAATATCTACAGTCTCCTTTTCTCATCCCTCACCTCCTCCCTCATAAAACCAGGTTCTCTGTTGTCAAATGTGGTGTCACTTCAGCTTTATTTGTGACATTTACAGCAGATGGATTTTCGCACAGCTGCCCAGAGATGATACAAACGCTGCAGGGCTCAAAAAATATTGTGTTAATGGTGTAAGAAAATAAAATAAATCATTAATGAGGAGAAATAAGCAACATCAGAGAGTAAAATCTGCAAGGGTCTTCACTATATTCTTCACTATTCCTAGCCCATCGTGCTATGTAATTAAGCGGATAAAAAGTTTTTTTTTTTCAGGTTTATGTTATATCAATTTACATGTAGAGTGAGGGATGATGTCAACATTACTAAGGCACATGACATGGTGAACATATGTATATAAGTACATTTCCTCATACAAATACAGTAAATACAGCTAAAATAAACCTTTACTATAATAGTAAATTATATTGATTGGGAATCCCAGGTATATCATACTCTATTTCTATTGGCTGTTACCAACCCTCAATCTATGACGTAAACACTCGTCAAACCAATAGTTAACCTCTCTCTTCTTTCTTTTTTTTGTTGTTGTAAGGAATGAGCAACAGGCCTCGCTGCCGATATTAGCATGAGAGACATTTTCACCATTAGGCTTTTGTGGAGGCTGTTTGAATAAGTGGCAAAGGGTTTTGAAAAAGACCACACGATTTTGTCATTCTGTTACTTTTCGGAAGAATTATCGCCTCGTCTCTCGCAGGCTGTGTTATGGATGAAGTACGGCCTACCAGTGGTGCGCAAGCCCACGGGCTGGTGCCGCTGTTTCCTCCGGGACTTCAGGCTATCTATGGGGAATGTCGGCGACTTTATCCCGATCAAGCCAACCCGCTGCAAGTGACTGCTATAGTTAAATATTGGTAGGTACCGAACCCCATTGGTGGATTTCTGTCTTTTAGGCAAACCTGCGTACTAAGTTTATTTATTTTCCTTCTGAATGCTAGCCAAGAATTAGCTTAGCTGATAGCTAGCATTAACGTCCCAGCTAATATCCAGGAGTTCCTGTCCATGACGTTTGCATGCATTCTCGTTGAAAATCAGTACCAGATTATACGGATTTAGCTGAAACAATAAAGAGGATGATATCTCAAAACGTTAGTCGTAGTCTCTCAATTACGCTGGTTGAATTGTTAGAGAGGAAAGGCAGTCCCTTCTGAAAACAAAAAGGAGGTGTCCCATAGCTAATGGTCTTCACTCTTCGCTTCGACCAGGCTTGGAGGACCGGACCCGCTGGACTACATCAGCATGTACAGGAATATGGGCTGTTCAGCCCAGGACGTCCAGGAACATTGGCACTATGTGAGCTTTGGACTGAGTGATCTGTATGGGGACAATCGTGTTCATGAGTGAGTCCTATTTCTTCAGCAGCTTTGTTGTCAAAGTGGCATGTTATCACATCGCAGTTAGCCTTTCAATTGGATAAATATTTGAGCTCCACAGGAGTTTTTTTTTTTAACAGTAGCCCACCCACTGGCAACGCTGGCCCTAATTACCCTGTTGTTTTAATGATATGGACATGCATTGCACCTTTTACAGTCCTCATGCAAATGAGGAGAAAGTAGATCTACAGCTGTTTTTATTTAGTTCCTTAACGTTTCACTGTTTCTGTGTGTATTTGTTAGATTTTCAGGGGCAGATGGACCCAGTGGATTTGGGTTTGAGCTCACCTTCAGACTCAAAAGGGAGGTGGGAGAGACTGCACCTCCAACGTGGCCAGCTGAACTCATGCAAGGCTTGGCTCGCTATGTGTTCCAGTCAGGTAAAAGCACACACACTTTCACTCCTGTAAATTGATTTTAATCTGGTAACTGCCTTTTAAAATGATGTTTTTAGTGGATTTGGTCAGACTAAACAACCTGGTGTAATGTTATTATTCTGTTAAACCCTTTCCATGCATCACTGATTTTTAAGATATATTTGCACAAACTTTGACAGAACAATTTCCTTTTGGCTGGGGTTTGCATGCTACCACATGAAGTATCAAAATAATCTTCTATCTGCAAAGGTAGCTTGCAGTTCCAGCTGTACGTTTAAACATGCTTGGGCGGAGGATTCAGCTTTAGGCATCAGCGCAGGTCTACTCCACAATGTTTGTTTTTGTTGAAAGACTGCATATTAGCAGGAAGTCTGCTTTCCCCTGTCGAACCCCAGGCTGTTAGCTGTGATTATTTTCAATGTATTGAAATATACAAGGTTATTGTGTTGATATTCTTTCCACCTACTGATCATAGGCAGTGTTATTCTTAAACAGCTTCTCTGCTGTTCGTAGAACACAACAGAAAATATGCAGTTGATAAGAGAGGGTTCATAGATGAAAGGCAAAGCAGACAGAGAAACAGGCTTTTCATTCCAGGCTCTCTGCGCTGTTTTCCAGCTGGGGTCAATTTGCGTGTGGGTGGGCTCCTCAGCTAAATGAATGCTGATTCCAAACCATCCTCTCCCTGTTTTTATTTCTCCTGAATCTGGACTTGGTGCTTGTTACCTCCCAAGCAGACAGATTTACTCAGATGGAAATGCAGCTTTAATGGATTTCTAACCATATGTGGCTCTCAGTTTCTCTGCGTTTACTGTTTTCCCCACACTTTTGCTCATCTCTATCTTCTCTTGTTTCTCAGTTGCACAGCCATACAAGGAAAGTCTTTAAACTGCAGCTTCTTCTTGCAGTAGAAATGATCGCCTCCTTATCTTTTTTTTTTTTAACTACAGAAAACACATTTTGTAGTGGTGATCATGTCTCGTGGCACAGTCCCCTGGACAACAGCGAGTCTCGTATCCAGCACATGTTGCTCACAGAAGACCCACAGATGCAACCGATTCAGACTCCCTTTGGCACAGTGAGCTTTCTCCAGGTGAGTTCTGATATGGAATGAGGGCAAAGTGGAAGAAATTGCGCTGCACATGACACTGACTTTGGGGAATTTTAAAAAAACTTTTTAAAAGCAAGTTATGAATCATGGAGTTAAAAGAACACCGGGCTTTCATTATAAGACATAATAACATTAGCCGCGGTACTTCGTCATGTTGAAGTCAACTTGGAGACGAGGCTCCGGCAGATCTTAGTTTGAGCACAGAGATGTACAAATTAAAAGTAAAAAGTTAGCACAGAGGGGCAAATAGGTGACTGTAGAGTTTACAACGCTCTGCTAAATGCAAACACCAGACACAACTGCTTCCTGAGTACTGGCTCCAACAGGTTAGCCCCACCCTACATCTTGAGCTGTGGCAATGATGAATTAATAGCCATTAATTCGAAATTCATGGGACATTTTGTTGGCACCGTTTTTGCATCGTTGAAATCCATGTGAATGAAGACATTGGCTCTCATGACTACACAGCCGATTATGTCACGTCTACCTGCTGGTGGAGCTAATGGGCTTAGTTTCCTTGGATTGTTTTGTTGGAAATCCCCACTGTGTGAATTTATACTTCAGAGATCTTCACTTCATCTCTGCAACTTGAGGATCATAATCCTCTGACACAGCGTTTGCCAGCTGTCATCCAGCTGTGGCTTCCAGCACAAACACTGTATTAGTGTGTTAAAAATGGACACAAAACGCCCTGAGCTGTTCAGTTTAATTTTCCTCACCACCATAACATGAAAGTTAAAGTGAAACTTTGTTAACACGGATGTTGTTTTTAGTTTTCCCATGAACCCAAAAGGTTCTGTATCTGTCTTTTAAATCTAAAATGAGGGTTAATTCAGTGCATGAGCTGCATGAATGTGATCCTACTAGTGCAACCAGGGAGCCAGCTGCAAGGAAAGCACCTCCGCACGTGTCAACCTTTAAAACCTCCCTTGTATTCTGCACTCTCAATAGATTGTGGGTGTGTGTACAGAAGAGCTACAGGCGGCCCAACAGTGGAATGGCCAAGGCATCCTGGAGCTGATGCGTGGAATCAGAGTGTGAGTTGGACCTCGCTCCTGCCTTTTGTTAATTTTTTTTCCCTACTTTTTTTCAGCAGGCTTTGTGTGTGCTGGTATGAAAGTAAGGAAACCACACTTTTGTGGTGGGGACCTCCCACACTTTTCCACATCTCAGACTCTTATAAAGGTGGATTGTACTTGTGTTTTTCTCATCTGCCTTCACACAGCTCTCCTCTGTGGCAAAGCTAAAGAACACTGAGCACATTGTCTGAGGCAAATAAAGAGGAGTTACTAGCTCATTTATTAACTTTGCATATGTACTATCAAGTTGACTCCAGTGACCGTCTTGTGTGCAGAGCTGGTGGCCCCTGGCTGATTACAGACATGAGGAGAGGAGAGACCATTTTTGAAATTGACCCACACCTACAAGTAAGGCCTTTTTACACTCTGTGCGCTGCTACTTGCTTCTTTATTCCTCATTATGTTGTGTTTTAGTTTTTAGAAACATTTAATTGAAATCATGCTGTGCTTTTGGAGAATTCCTTTTATTTCTGATCATCTTAACTTTGTATGAGTCCTGTTTAGACTAGTGTTAATGATTGCGTATATGTATTTCTTGCTCATCTAAGCAGGAGAGAGTGGACCAGGGCATTGAGACAGAGGGCTCTAACCTGAGCGGGGTCAGTGCCAAGTGTGTGTGGGACGATCTGAGTCGTCCGCCAGAGGATGAGGAGGACAGCCGATCCATCTGCATTGGATCCCAGCCCCGCAGGCTCTCCGACAAAGGTATGGAATCTGCCAGTGTGTCCCAGTGACAGTCGGCTTCTAAGCTTTCATTAGTTTGAGGTGCATCACTCACCCTTTTCTTATTCTGTCTGTAAATATAGACACAGAGCAGATCAGGGAGACCCTGAGAAAAGGCCTGGAGTTTAAGAGCAAGGCAGCACTGCCACCTATCAACAGCCAGAAACAGAGTCAAGAGCGAGCTCAGTGAGTTCCTCCCACACAGCAGCACACATTTACCTGGGTTTGGCCCGAGTCGGGGGCTGTGGCAGGGTAAATCCCTCCATCCTGTTCAGTGACTCACAGCCCCGAAGTCGTCTCTTCATTGTTTTCTTACATACCAGCCTATTGCGTTGGCTCATTACTAATACATTTCCAGTTTCTGTGGAATTTGCTGAGTCTTCTGCAGAATCAGGCAACCGCCCGTCACAAATTATATCACTTCGTCCGGAGTTGGGAAGTTTTTTTGTTTCGTCTAGTTTTTTCCAGAGGAAATTATAGTGTCATTTTAGACTTCCTGTCTTACACGTGCTCTTATTTGCTTGTTTGTCAGGAGTCGTAAGGACAGTTTGGAGAGTGAGAGCTCAGCCGCCATCGTTCCCCACGAGCTGGTTCGAACACGGCAGCTGGAGAGCGTCCATCTGAAATTCAACCAGGAGTCAGGCACACTGCTGCCCCTCTGCCTGCGGTATAGCCACAGTCTGACCCTTTCACCCCACAGTCAAAGACTATGGGATTTACGGATAGAAAAACAAGTCCCTGCAATTATATTGAATAGGTTCTCAGTGTCTTACCAAAATATGGCTAAAATATCAAATTGGTTTCGCTATGATCAAAAGGGGACTTTCTGCTAACTGCCCAGAACGCTGGTAGAGTCTCTTCCCACACAGACCTTTATGTCACTTCAAAGCCAGATGAAAATAGCAACGTAGCAAAGTTTTAGTTTGCAAAAAGTGGTTTTCAGCTGGCAGAATGTGGTCACAGTGAAAACAAATTCAATTTGCAGCTCATTCATCACTCTTTTTAAAAATAATTTTCCCACAAACTAATCAGAGCAGTAGTTGAAACTGTTCACATGGTATAATGTGACCATCACCGCCCATGTGGAACAAAGGCCTACTAAGCACGAAGCATTGCATACAGAAGGCCTGTTTTTGAAAGAGAAAAATGTGTGGTTTTCTTTTCTTTTCTTTTTTTGCAGTTGAGAAACATTTTTAAATGGACCTGTTTTTGGCCTCTTGACCACTTACAGATCCGTAGTGCACAGCTTTAGTTAAAGGACTAGTAGCAGGGGACTCAGAGGAAGAATGGTACATTTTGCTCTTAAATTGGACAAAACCTATAAGCTGAAGGAACTAAATGATGCAATCATTGCTAATTGGGAGAATTAGGAAGAGGGGGGGGGGGGTGTCACATGATATGTTGCAGGGCTGCTAATGAGTCCAGTTTCAACACGCCTTCACCAGCAAGGTTTAAAAAGGCTTCACAGACCACGGACAGAGCAGTCTCTTCCTGTCAGCAGGACTTTGACTCGTACAGCCCTCTGCCTCACGGAGGCATAAATAAAATGTCCAAACACTCCCACCCCAACACACCCTAGCCTGAGCAGCATTTAGCCAAATACCGAGATGGAATAACGCACAACAAATCAGTCCTCATGATTTCAGCCAGATGAGGTTTAAATGAAGGCAGAGACAAAACTCAGTGACCACAGTGAGACCCCTGTTTTCCAGATGACTTTGGAGACAGAAAAATACTAACAAAAAAGTTGCATGCAGAAAATAAACCAATTTGCTTCTTAGTTTGATCTAGATATTTGTGTTTTAGCTTTCTCTGTTGTACTCCTGTAGAAGTCTCTTGTATTGTTCTCTTTGTCAGAACCGGCATGTGTTACTGACTGCTCGGCTCATTCTGCTCTGTGTTTGACTCTTGCAAAGGGGCCGTTTGCTCCATGGGAGACATTTCACCTACAAAAGCATCAACGGAGACACGGCCATTACGTTCGTGTCCACCGGAGTGGAGGGAGCTTTTGCTACCGAGGAGCATCCCTATGCAGCTCACGGGCCCTGGCTTCAGGTACCGCACACGCAGTGGCCTGCTTATGTTCCTTCCCGTCTGAAACATCTAACCCTCGTGTCCTCTCCCTGCGCAGATATTGTTGACTGAGGAGTTTGTGGAGCAGATGCTCGGTGATTTACAGGAACTAAACACTCGTGAGGAGGCAAGTAAAGAAAAACCCCTTCATTTTAAGTTTTACTTTCACCTCCAGTCGACATACTGCCTTCACTTTTGTTTGTCCCTCCTTCACTCAGACAAAGTTACCAAAGGAGTACAGCTGGCCAGAGAAGAAGCTGAAGATTTCCGTCTTGCCAGACTCTGTGTTCGATAATCCACTGCAGTGAGACGGGAGACCTTTTTATAGATGCAAACCAAAACACCTGCAGACACACACACTTCCAGACTGCTCCACCATGAACAGGAGGCCCGCAGAGATCCTGAGCTGACCAGCGCACGTGTGCTGCTCCCCAGGTGGACGTCTGGACAATGCTCCACTCCTCAAGATGATCCTGGAGATCAGCGACACAAAATCAGCTTCTGACTGTTACAAGTGTTCTCAGACTAGCTTAGTTGTTTACAACATCTCTCTTTGAGACTGTCAAATCATTCTGAAACCAGCCTGTCCAGATGGTTGCGAGAACAGGGTGCTTTCATTCCTCTGGTAAAATCCCAATATGCACCGCTTACGCAGTCGAGCATGCATCCTGTGATCAGCAGTGTCTGGAGCGGTCAGCGGGTTCTCAAAATCAATGCTATTTATTCCAGTGGCCTTAAAAAGGGAACGCAAAAACACAAAAGGAACCCTGCTCATCAGCCTTTTTCACTAACAGTATATTTGCATAGAGTTATTTACAAATGCTGGACATTTTTCTCTGTGTTTGTGTTCATACCAAAGTTTTAACTGTTACCATGAAGCCTCCCGTGCTCGTCTGTGCCTCAGATATTTTAAGATTATGTGGCAATAACCTGACGGGCGACATGCTATGATTATCATTCACCGCCACGTCTTAGGTGTCTGGCAAATGCTGCAGCCCTAACCTCCTACACCGCGCTACGAGCTCACTGCCACAGTGAGGAATCATTGGGATGTTTCTCCCCTCTCCCAGTAACGCACGTCTGCCCGGCCTGCAGTGAAATGCATCTAATCTGAAGCAGAAGCGTCGGGAATTCACTATCTTGCTCCAAGTGCTGACTCCAGTGGCCACATGATTATGAAAAAAATGCTGTGGGTTTTTCTTTTTCTTCGTCCGCCTCTAGCGGGTCCCGCTCTACGTCTGGGTGGGACTGGTCGGTGCCTTCCGCCACAAAGGCCAGCGCGTTTTCCGTTGACTCTCGGTGCCACGCACAGCTGCCCGATCGTTAAGACGCATCACTTTAGGCCCAGGCCGTCGCTGCATTCCACGCTGACTACAAGATGGAGACGAATCCAGAGTCTTCAGACAGAAATGTACTCCTGGACAGCATGCAGACCTATTTTTTTGTCCTTTTTCTTTCAGAATGAACGATATGGTTAGATGTTGATACTGATGAATATTTGTTTCAATATTTTCATGACTAAACTGTCAGATTGTAATCCTAAGTGCATTAAAGAGTGTAGCTATTCCACAAATAAATGAATGGATCACTAATACAGAAGTAGCGTGAATATTTTGGAGTTTTTTAAAGAATGTGTGTGTGAACATTTCGGTATATGAAATAGCCTGTCCTTTGTTAATTAGTGCTGTGGTTTCATTGTAGTCTAATTTTGCCAAACTAATTCACTACAAACAAAATAGACACAGAATGAGTTAATTTATTTTGGATGAAAGTGGTCTACAAAACCGTGGTACACACACTGGTGTGTCACCAGCTGGTCTTTTAAAGGTGGAACAGGAAATTGTTTGACTTGGGTTGATTTATCAGTTATTTGCTTGCAATAAAACAACCAATAGATCCCCCCTTTTAAAAACTTGCACATAGTGTTCGTGTCCTAAAATAATCTGAATCTATTAGTTCTATACTAGTGGAATAAACCACCAAACCCCGAATCAGTTGAACTTTGTTGTATTTTTACTTCTACATCTGACCTCATTTAAGATGGTTGAAAGGCAACAATGTAGTTATGACAGCTTTATTAACAACTTCTTAGAGGAAACTTAGCCCATTCTATCCGAGGTGGCCGCACAGAGAGGGATGGCGCACTCTCAGCCTTCCAGATCCTTAAAATGGGGGACTTTGCCTCCCCGGCCACGGGGCCACAAACCAACACCGTGACCCCGGGTCACCGGTAGGTCTCCTGGTCTTCCGCAGTCCGTCCGGCACAGTTTGCTGTGGCCGTTCCCCCCTCTGCCTTCCTGCTCCGGGCTCCTCCCAGTCTCTATCAACTCCGTGACGGTCACGTTATCGTCGGGGGGGTGGAGGAGGAGGTGGGGGGGGGGGGGTGTTGTAGTCGGTGTGTGAGCACTGCGCTCTGCTTCCGACCAGTCACCGTCTCCCTCCGCTCCCCGCACCGAGATCACTCACAGAGCGCACGGACGGGAAAGCCGAGCGCTGGGGTCCGAACCAGGAGCTTAATCCCCGAAAATCCCACCGTCGAATTCTCTTCGCCGGACAGCCGGACAGGCCGGACCGACCGGACGGACCGGACCGGACCGGACCGGACGGACCCGGGATCGCGTCTCGGGCTGGATGACCAGCGGAGGAGCTCCGGGGCGGACGCACGACATGGGAAATAAATAGTTGGTAACGTACGTCCAGCGTGTGTGTGTGTGCGTGTATGTGTGTGTGTGTCGACAGAGAGGGCGAGCGTTTGTTTCGCCTTTAGATCCGGTGTCAGAGCAGCTCAGAGTGACATATTCAGGGCTGGAGTCGCTTCTTTTTTTTTCTTTTTTCTTTTTTCTTTTTTTTTGGAGCAAGTTGTCACTCGCTTACGAATCGCCTCCACAACATGTACGGTCCTGCACTCCAGACGCCCCAGTCAGGCTTTTCTCACAGAAACCGAACCCCTGTCTGTAGTTAGTGTGATCTGAGGGATCCCCCTCCACCCCCACCCCCACCCCCCCCCTTTCGGGGTCCCTTGCTCTATTTGCTTGATGTTACACCCTCAGAACCAGACTAAAAAACATCGTTTTTGTTGCCTGTGCATCCTAAAGGGAAACCCCGTGAAACTCCCATACTCAGAAACTCCCTGTGTCTGTATCTGCTTTCAGTTTGGACCCCCCCCCCCCCCCCTTCCCCTCCCATCCCCTCACCTCCATCCCTCTCCAGCCCCCCTCCTCCTCATCCCCACCGGAGTCATGATGGACGCGAGCTGGAAGAACTGCTTCGAGGAGGAGCTCCTGTGCCCCATCTGCCTGAACGTGTTCGAGGAGCCCATCCAGCTGCCGTGCAAGCACAACTTCTGCCGGGGCTGCATCTCGGAGGCGTGGGCCAAGGAGAGCGCGGCGGTGCGCTGCCCGGAGTGCAACCGCGACTACGAGCGCAAGCCCGCGCCCGAGAAGAACTTCAAGCTGGCCAACATCGTCAAGCGCTTCAACGCGCTCAACGCCGACAAGGGCCCCCCCGCGCCGCTCCACTGCGTGCTGTGCCGCCGGGGGCCCCCCCTGCCCGTCCGGAAGGTGTGCCTGCGCTGCAAGGAGCCCTGCTGCCAGGCGCACGTGCAGACGCACCTGCAGCAGCCGTGCGCCGCGCCGGGGCACCTGCTGGTGGACGCCGAGGAGCTGAGCGCCTGGACGTGCCCCAGCCACGAGGAGTACCGGCTGCTGCACTGCGAGCAGGAGCAGGTGGCCCTGTGCCCGTTCTGCTGCATGTCCCGCTGCACGGGCCAGAGGCACGCGGTGTGCGACGTGGACACGCAGCGCGTCCAGATTCAGGTAAATCCACAACAACAACAACAACAGCAAAAGAAGGTGGGGGCGTATATACACTGGCTCAAACATGCAGGACACAAAAAAGAAATCGCTGAGTGTAAAAGTTTCGCAGCTCGTGATTTGTGTGTGTATGTGTGTTTTGACGGCGAAAATGGATGGGTTTGATGGATGGCACGCGTGTGCGTAAAAGTCGAGGTATAGCGCTCGCTGTCCTGGCGTGAGAAGAGCCGGACGGGGTGAAAGATTGGTTGTGGCTAAACACAAACGCACACACACACACACACACAAATACTCACACACACACACAAACAAACAAACAAGACCAAACCACAACACAGCTTTTAACCCTGATCATACCGCCCACCTGAGATGGCTATGGCTTTCCATTAGCCATCAGGTATAAGTGCTGTGATGCGGCCTGCGCCCACAGGAAGTGTTGACCCCCCCAATCCATGCGTGTAGGATGTTTTGGCTGGATTCCTCCATCAAGAGAGGTGTCCGTGGAGGCTGAGGAATTAGTGCGATTTGACAAATTTCCAGTATCTCTCCACAGCTCTCAGTGGTCGGAAGGTTGTTCTAAAGAAACATTAGCAGGAGAAGGAGGCTGAGAAATAATCCGGTGGGAGGGAAAAGACTCTGTTTCTTCTGGTTTTACATGTTGGGATGTATTGAAAAGGATCATGGTAATGAGGTTAGCTTAGATGAACAGCAGAAAATTTGCCGAAAACTAAGAACAGCATCCCCGGCCTCATTCTAGAAGAAATGCTTCTAAAGGGGAAAAGCCCACATGGTCTCTCCTCCTCCCCCGTGCCTGAGCTGTAGCGTTGAAGACGCTAGCTGAGGCCTGTAGAGGCCGAGATGTGGCCCTCAGGTTTTTTACTGCCCGGTCTGACCTCCACGTGAACGCCCACTTCAGCCAAAATCTGCAGCTGACTAAATATTGAATATGGACTCCAGATCGTTTGGAAACGGTCTGTAGCTCTTCCTAGTTTGACGAGCAAAGAAAAACGGCCCGTCTGAGATAAGTGCAGATGTCTTTCCTCCTTGGCATCGTGTCAACACGAACGCCGCAGACCAGCAGAGGATCAAAGTCTCTGGTTTTACGGTGCGGGCTTCTGAGCACCTGTCTGCCGTTTTCGCTTCTAAATCCATTTAAAGCCGTGACATTGTGGTCTGTTTCTCACATGTTTCTTAAATGACTAGTGATAAATATTATGAGCTGCTGTTCATCTGAGTAGTTACATTGTCAAAAAAAAAGGGCACAATAGGAGTACATTCATGTCTCCTGAGGTACTTTCTCAACTTATGTACCTCATACAACTAGTGACTGGAGCCCAGGGCACATATTTGTACTGTAGGAGGCCCTGAAAGGTGAACTCATGCTCCCAAATAATAAATAACAAGCAAACTAAAAGGGTAGACCAGCGGGACCTATGAGGGTATCACCCCAGTGATAAGTCTTTGGACCCTTAAAGGTACAATAGGTTCTTTATTATTGAGATTGTGTTTAGGTATGCCCCTGATTTTAAGAGCAGGTAATACCAGATGATCCTTGTAATGTAATGATACGTCAAGTTGTGGACATAAAAGAGGGCGTGCTTTCTTCTTCTTCTTCTTCTTCTTCTTCGCATTCCTGTAGATGTTACTAAATGTGTGTCCATCTGGCAACAAGAACTTGCAACAAGTGAATCATGATGTATCTTGGCAGGGCAGATCTAAAGATGCCTGGAGAAAAACGCATCTCGCCTAAAGCCAATCTGACATTCCTGCGTGTTGGGCTGTGCTGGGCTCGGCGCTTCACATAAGTTCGCTCTCTTCTCACAAGTCTAACGCGAGTCGAAAGTCGTCGCAAACAACCGCCCACACCGCTTCACGCACATTTCTCGCCTCTCTTAATTGCGAAGGGGTGGAAGTGAGAACCGGACTGCCTTTAGCATCTGTCGCTGCTGCTTGGCTGCTACCTGTGGCGGCCGCGTTGTCCCAAATGGGAGAAAGCCGCCGGCGGGGTTTCTTTTCCGAAAGCAGTTCAGAATCGTCCAAATCAGTCAAAGCCTCCACTGCAAACTGTTGCCCTGGTTCGGAGCTATTATTGGGACAAAAGATGTCTGTTCAGCCCTTTCCACAGCTGCTCTCTTTACACACTCACATGCAAACACCCACCCATCTCTCTGTTCTTTCACAACTGTGCATTCGCTGGGAAAAAGAGGTCCCGGCTCTTCTCAGATTAGCACTCTGTGTGCTCGGGTCTTCACATACAGAGCGCACTCTCATTTACACAGCAGTCAGAAAGTTAGGCTTCTTGTGTGCTGGGTCATTTGTTAAAGTAATTTGAGGCCAGAGTGGCTTCTCCTCATTACCAACTGAGAGGTCTTTCTCCTTGACGGAGCTGCGGCCTATTTTGGTCAAATCATTTTAAAATTCCCCTGGCAGAACCCTCGTTGCTTTTGGGATAAACAGAGAGGGCAAAGCCAACGTAGCCAGGCTATCTTCACATCTCTGGTTATCTTTGGCTCTCGGAGGACCTTTTTACGGTAACTTTCCACAGACCCGTTGGTAATTTTTAAGATGAGGAAAGAGGAGTGATATAACGTTAATGTCATCCCTGGGACGAGCGGAGGAGGAGCCCTCCCACGCAGCCTCACCTTGGTTTTTTTCTCAGGCACCTCAGCAGGAGGCTCTGCTGTTTGCGTTCTCGTCTATCCGGGCTGGAGTGATTCAGTTCACCAGAATGCTGAGGGCAGTCCATTGACATCAGAAGTGGGGAATGGTTGTCAGTTGATTGTGAAAGAGGCTCTCTGTTCATTGAGCCTCAGGCTCCTCATTTAAACATGAGCTTCCTGGCAACCTGCGGGTGTCTGGATGCCTAAATAGGACAGCGCAGGAAAGCGATCATTGGTGGGTTTAAGCTCGATAAAGGCGGGCTTTCATGCTGCTGTGCTGCTCTGGCCCCCCTCATGCTATTTCAAACATACAACAGGACAAAAAAAGAAAAAGGGAATATTGAGGGACGAAATGACAAAGTGTGGAGGACATGCTTGTTAAGCAGAGATTTGTAGTCTTTACGGTTGACGTCAGATGGTGTCGAAAAAGGCCCGATGAGCCGAGAGCTGCCCGTGTGAGACAGATGGAGTGTTGAAGTGTGGGACGGGTGCCACGACCTGTCTGCGCCTCCGCTGTAAATGCTGTCAGAAAAAATGACACATGGCTGTGGGATCCAGGTCTTCAAAGCAGCAGCCACCATCCCTGTGGATGCACAGAGCAGTAAGAATGTGATGACATCTGTAAGCAGACTCAACTGAAGGACCAGGAAATGCAACAGATACATGTTTGCAAAATCATTAGGCTACACTATTTCTGGATTACTGACACATTATCAGGTATGCTGTGAAATGGAATCATTTCTATTCGTTTTTTCAACAAATAACAGGATTTGTTTCCTTCGAATTGCTTAAAGCTGAAGTGATAATCCATCCATCTGTTTTCTGTACCTGCGTATCCCAGCTGTCACTGGGCTAGAGGAGGGGTACAGCCTAAAGGTTTAGATCTTTTAGTGTTAGTAAGTTTAATTTAATTGAATTACATTAGTTTTATTTAGGTAAGTTTTGGGCAGAAATGCTGCAAAATCTCTGGAAAAGTTAAGAATTAACCGAGTTAGATAGCAGCTAGAAATCTTACACATCGGTATAGAATAAAGCTGAGGACAAGGACGGCTTCAATAATAGGATTATAAACACAGTCGAACGTGGACGGCATCTGGACTCACCACCTAAAGGTTTCTTAAGGCCCTTTGATGTGAATAAGAAAGAAAATGGGTGAGGATACCGGAGAACACAATCCGAATATGCGAGAATCTCAGGCCCAGAAGCCTTTTGTGGAAAGAATGAGTAAAAGTCCCAAAGGCAAGAACTGAAAGACTTCAGCAGCCACAAGGAGCTTTAACAGGCAGTGATACTGGGCCAAAGGGGATGAGTGCTAACTGATGCCTTCAGTTGAACTGATTATTATGAAAATGAATCTGGCTGTAGCCTTAGAAATGGGCCTACATAGCATTAAACAGCATTTTGTTAAAGTATCAAAGCAAGCAGGGATTAAAAGGGACCAAAGCGGAATTAATAGAGAGAAACGTTGAAACTTAATTTTGCTGGTTTGCCAGAAATAAAGACTCCTGCTGGAAGCTAATGTTGGCCTGTCTCTGGTGGAAGTCTGCTCAGATCTCAGCTGTCTCCAAGAGGCCCAGATGAAACAATCTAAGCTTTATTAACAGTTTAAATACCACTTTGGCTCTTTATGCTCTCTGTTTTCCTTTGAATGAAGTTTGACAGTAGTCCAAAGGCCTTAATGTAATCCTAATTTCTTACCCCTCCAAAAACCACGTGGAACGACACGTTTCTGACATCTCCGTAGCGAAAAAAAGCTGTTGACTGTTTTTTCTGGAGGACATGGAGGAGTGTAAGCAAACACACAAAAGCATGTGTGCTTGTACATTCTTGTCTTTTGGACTGTTGGCTCTGTGCGCTATGGTGTAATATGGTCTGAGATATCAAATGCTCCTCACAACATGACTGTTGTAAGCAGCTGAAGAGTCCCGTTGCCCAGATACCTCCGTCCAACAACCCCGAAGCTCCCTTGAGAGACGACAGGAATGTCTCCCATTCCCCATCACGTTTTGATATTACCTCAGAGTTTCTCTTTTGCTTTCGCTCCGTCTTTGTCTGCCTTCCCCCCTTTTTCTCTCGCTCCCTTGGCATGTGTAAGGAGCACCTTTGCTCCCGTGGCTTCTTTGGGATGCATGCTTTGAGGGAGGCAGAGCCCAGCCCCTGACTCTGACAGTCTGTGAGTGACACGGAGGCCCGGCTAGACAACGGGGAGCAACGCACGCAGCAAAATGAGAAAAAGAAAAAACCCCGCCCCTTTTTACCCATTCACATACGCAGTTGCCCTGACATGTAAGCACATACCCGGTGCTTTGTTGCTATGACGGCCACTTTATCTTATTAGGAAATCCCAATTTTGCGGATTTAGCTGAACGAGTTCATTAAAAAGCGTACTTATGCCCCCGTTTTGTAGTTGGCTGTTAGTCTGTGTCTGCGGATGGATTTCCATCGTCTGCTTTGAACTGAAAAGGATCATGTTTACTATCTCTTTTACTGGCTTTTCACTAGACTTGATTAGGTCCATAAAGGGAGCGGGCTGATCCCAACAATGGACCACTGTTAAAGTTACAGCGTCTTACAAACTGAGGAGCAACCAGAGAAGGATTTGGTCACCGGTATTTGTTTTTGCTTGACGCCCCCAATGGATAATTACACACCCCCACTCCTGGCAGTTTTTTGTTTCCTCCGCCTAATAAGAATTGAGGAGGAATCGTGAATAGCAGCCATGTTTGCTGAGGCCACAGCCGGGGCCTCAAGAATCTTAAGGAAGTTCAAGTGCCTTTATAAATTCTGTACTTTTGATTTCTGCGTGTTGTTGTGTTGTTCATGTGCGTATTCCCTCTTGTCTGCAACGTTTCTGCTCAGGCCATGCTAATGAGGCAGCAGGAAAGACTGGGAGGCCGTGTTCAGAACATCGATGAGCAGCTCAACAAGCTGGAGTCTGACAAGACCCTGATGAAGGTAAAATGCCACAAGTACTTCACACATACTCACAGTTCTGAACAGAATGAGCTGCGCTGCTGCCTTTGTTCCTCACCACTCTGTGGGTTCATGCTATAATTTGGTCTGCTGTAATAAAATGACTAACCTTTTCACTACCTTTTCCTGTCATCAAAGGAAAACATATCTCCAGTTATGACTGTAGATATGACTCCAGCTATTAGAATGGAAAGTTTGTTTAAAAGAGTTTCCTACTCTAGTTTTGAGCAAGAATGGAACAGATTCCACTAAATGTAAGAACAGTACAGCCACCGCACTCCTCAGGGCGTCATTTGTTTAAATTCAGTTTCATTTGACTAATTTAACACCGAATCTCTGCGAAGGCAGAAATATTGTGTGGTCCGGTTTCTCTGTATTGAAGCACAATTCTCTTTTTTTGCCGTGTCTGCGTGTTTCCTGGTGAGGGTTGTAAAGAAGAATGTATGTCACCGCCTTGTCAAAATGGCGCTCCAGTCACAACGAGTTTGGTCTGCCTCTGAGCCCCTGCCTCTCTCCACAGGATGCAGTCTATGAGCTGAAGGAATGCGCCAGAGCCCAGTATCAGAGGATGCACGCGCTGCTCGAGGCCAGCCAAGCGGAGGCCCTGCAGATGCTGGAGAGCACTTACATCACGTACATGAGGAAGAACTCCCAGCAGGTTCTGCAGCTCAACGAGAAGCGGCAGGAAGCCGAGAAACTCCTGAGCTCGGTGCAAACCTTCTTTAAAAGAGCAGAGAGCGTCAGCTTCATGAAGGTACAAATCTGTTTCCACTTTCTTCCGACACCACCTCGGTGCTTTCCTGCTCAAGGATGCTCTCACCAGCTGAATCTAATGATTATTTTCACAAAAAAAACCTATAAAAAAACATCATGACCCACATCCTTAATGTGTAATAAAACACAGCTGGATGCACACAATTCCCACAGATAGACAACAGAGCATCAATGTGGGCTTCTGCTTCCTTATTGTCACTGTTTTTAAGACATTTGATAGGAGATAAATTCATTCATCCCTTTGTCTTTTTCAGAACACAAAGCCCTACCAGCTGCTAATGGACAGGTGAGTGGCTCTCCAGGGGACGCTATTGGAGCTGTTTCTTTTTTCAAACGCCTGTGTAATTCTTTTGGGGGATACTTTGTCAAACCCACTTCCTGAATCTCTCACCGTTATCTGCTTTCCCCGTACACAATTCTAAAGCATATATAACAGGTTAGCCTCGGCTCCTCCCAATGTTAAGATTTACTTAGAAAAAAGTCACAGAGCAAGTCCATTTGTACACAGTGGAGTCCTGTCATTTGTTCTTAAACAGCTTTCAAACCAGTTTCAGCAGTTTCCTTCTGTCTGTTACCTGCTGCTTTTCTCAAACAGCATCCAATAAGATTACACATAAACCAGCAATGAATTATTTTACAAATGTAGAAACCCCTTTTTTAAGTCTGTGTTTATATGTGGATGCACTTTGGCTCATGATTAGCCTGAGAAGATCTACAGGCTGAGATGAGGGAGTTTAATTGATTTCTCAACTAACAAAGATGATTGTGCAATACCTCTCAGTGGAATACAAACACTATTTGTTGAAAATGTCACTGTAATTGATTGTCTTTTTCCTCACTTAAACTGCATCCAGGAAATCAATTTAGTCATTCAAAGTCTATACAAAGTATACATGAAGCGAAAGGCCTATGTTCAAAGTTGGCTATATTCAAAGCTGTGTTCCCACTACCAGCCACATTTGAAATTCCAAACTAATACAGACCAAGTTTGATGGGTCACTATCATAAATACAAGTGTCTTGAATCTGATTTCACAGGAGGGCGACTGTTCAGAGAAACCACATGTGTATGCACGGGATACCTTTCTGCATGCATCATTTGTATTAACAGCAACAACAGAAAATGTTACATTTTAAAAAAGATGGAAAAACACAAACACGAAAGTTTAGCATTTAGCACCAGAGAACAGCTAATCTTTTTGCATATGTACATAGGAAAAATATTAAGAAGTGAAATTAAAAGAAAATAAAACAAAACCTTTAAGCAGTGCTGCGGTCACGCTCCATTTTATGATTAAACGTTGGAGGTCAGACATGGGTGTATCAGATCTGGGGCTGCATACTGAAAACATACTCACTGGGATTGACTATTAGATTTCTGTACCCTCACACCCTTCAAAAATCAGATATAAGTCACATGAATGGGAACAATGGAACTGGTAATGTGAAGCCCAAGAATTGAATGAGCTTCCATTGGGTCTTCATGGTTTTGCGGATCTTTTTCAGGTCAAACTCACACCTGGCTGGTGCCCTCCCTCCACTTAAAGTGGGCCAGCTCAGCTCTCACCACTTCCTATCTGACCTTTCAACTCGAGAGAAGAATTTGAGAAAAATATTGGAAGGTAAAGGAAATAAAGAGTATTGAGTAATGATTACATATCCTGTTAGACACGTTTTAATTCCAGGAACAAAAGGCGCTCAGAATTAACTTTCATTTCCTTCTGCCCCACAACCAATTTCCCTTCTTAGAACCGTTAAATGAGGCGCCCATTCTGGAGATTGTCCAGTCTCACAGTAGCTCTGCCGGTTCCCAACTGGGATCAGGTTCAGGACTACAGAAGAGGAAATACGGCATGGCTTTCCTGGAGAGCGGTGCAGAAAATCCCACCTCCCACGATCCTCCGCCTTTGCTCTACAGCGGCAAGAAGCCTTTCCTGTCCGATCAGAGCCACCGCACCTCATCTATTTATTCCACAGAAGTCCTCCCCCAGAATCCTCACGGCGGGCCGGGCCACGGCCGGCTCCTGGACACCGCGGCCCATCACATGGTGGGTCTGGGCTCCAGCTCTGGCCACCACTCAGGAAATCTATTCCCATCCTCCCACTTCCCGAGTGGAGGCGCCTCGCAACAAGCCATGTACGAGGGGAGGAAAGTACTGATGTGCACTCTGAATAACTGCTGCTGCTCCGGGAGCCCCGCTGCCCGTGCCCAGCCCCCATACAGCGCATCCAACTCCTACCCCTCCATGAACTCGCAGGAGTTCCCCTCGCACGCTTCGCTTCCCGCGAGTCAGCCGCTGCAGCATTTTCCCATGAGGGGACTAATGGAAGCGCCACAGACTCCCAGGCACCCCGACTTCTACGGGCTGTACGGCCAGTCCTCAAACAAGCACTACGGGACCAAGTAACGAACCGGAATCAGCACTTCTTCAGTTAGGACGCTCAGACTGGAATCACGTGTCATGTATGCTTTTGGTTCTTTTCATTTTGGACTTCTACCTGTTACCAGGATTATGTGTCCAGTAGAGCTTCAGGATAGTGTTTGATATTTTGTCTCGCACCCCTTCTGGGACCCAGGACAGAGTCCCAATTTGGACATTTTTATTTATTTTCTGTTTCAACTCAAATAGAAGTGCTGACGTGAGTGATTTAGTCTTAAACCCTTGTCGGCAGCGACAAAAGAAGAAACATATCGCTCACAAGTCCTGGCATGGGACTCTAGTGCCTAAAAAGACTGTTAACACACTCTTACCTAGCTCTTGATTATTTCCTGTTTGCAGCCGAGGGCACCCAGGGAGCCCCTCCTTGCACTCAGAAGTCCACGTGGCTTTAGAAAAACACTGAACTCCAAATGCTTGTCAGTTTTTTCATGATTTTTTATAGGAGATTATGAATAAACCAAAATCTGTGAAACATGTTGAATTAATAAACAAGCATATTGAATTACCCCCTGGTTTTATTTATGCTCTTGTTTACAGATTTTGAAATCATTTTGTGGGCTTTGATCCGTGGTGATGGTGCTTCTTTTAACCCTGAAAAACAGAAACAATGACCATATGTGATAGCTGCTGTTCAGGCCAGAACTTAGTTAGTGGAAGACCATTTGTTAGTCCTTATCCGTCCCATCATCTAACAATTAAGGACAGTTCCCTTCCTCGTCAACATCCTGGTCCCTGGCAAAACCCCTGTTTTGGTTGTCTTTGTCTTGTTATTGGAGCCGGCTGTCAGGTTAGGTCAGAGAACGGGAATAACTGATGAGCAGCTCCTTCATCTCGTCCCATCTCATCTCCTTCCTCCCTCTCCCGGGGTATCATTTGCAATGGCTGGATGCAGAGGAGGAGAAAAGGAGGGTCTGAGCTGCGCAAGATATAAGCGAATGGTTTTAATGAGGGCTGGTGTGCCATAGTCCTCTACTTATCTGTCACTCATACGCATTTTATTGTTCCCCCTCCCCCACAGTGAGGCGGTGAGATTGCAGGATTGGTTGAGAGAGAGAGAAAAAAGGAGAAAATGAAGAGGTGGGGGAGTACATGGCGTGGAGAGCATCACTTCTGTTTTGGCTATAAAACGTGAAGTCCTTGCTCTATTTTCCTGCCTCATTAGCCCCGACTGATTGTTATTTATCATACGTTCAGAATAAGTCATTTCCAAAAGAACTCGACCTCCTTTAGCTGCTCAGCAAAGAGCTGAGCTTGAGTTACAGAGTGGCAATCTGTGTGTAAGCCAATTAGCATTCTCCATGTTCACTGTTCCTCCTCCTGTCTGTGTGTTATTAATAAAACATGGAGCAGATATTCTAAAGGAGGCCATACCATTAATTTAATATGCCTGAATTATTGATATCTGTGTTGTCTACTTACCTCTCATGAATGTTACAGAGTCAGATAAGATTAATTTTTTTGCCGCGCTGATATTTAGAATAATCCAAGCCTGTTTCATGACACGCTTTACGTGTCTTTGGCTTGGGAGCAAATATTAAGCGGTTAGAAATGTGTCTGAATCCTGTTGTAGGAGCGAGTGTGTGCAGTTGTTGCTGAACAATCAAGCCATGATTGTGTGTGCTCAGTGTGGTTCCATATAGGGGAGAGGATGATGCTGACAGCTGGTTCTGTTGTGGCAGGTGTGTTGCAGTTGAATATGTTCAACTTCGACACGCCTCTGCCTGCAGCAGGACATGAGCCAGCAGTGTGTGTGTGTGTGTGTGTGTGTGTGTGTCTGTGTGTGTTCACAGTGCAGGGATCTTTGCAGCTGTTGTTTGTATGCTTTTTGCCAGTGACTTGAGATACTACTGAGGTTGACATGGGCGCTACTTCTCCCAGTTTCTATCCCACTTTTCTTTGCCCATCATTTAATCCTCAGAGTACGATTACATTTGATCAGACATCCCTGATGGCACTGTCAATCCAATGGGACAGAAGCA